ACATTATATTCAATGTTTGTTCATATATCCAGAGTAATTACCAAAACAATATAACATTGTTATTAATATTATTATTATTATTATTATTATCAATATTAATATAATTATGATTTTATTATTTGTATCGTTATTATTATTACTTTGACTCACTATATCATTATGATAATCAAAATATATGTAGGTAAACAATAAATCACAAAAAGTTTAACAATCAAAAAGATTTATCATAATTATTGTCTATGGTGGAAAATAAACCATGTATATATCCTAGTAAGTTACAAATAATGTTCATATTTGCTGGGGGAATGCAATATCCTATTTTGATAGATCCACAACAATAATTGTCCCTATAAATAAAACCTAAATAATGAGTGCACTCAGTGCAGTATGTAAGCAATATGAATACCTATTGAAGGCAGTAAACATGCAATATATTATGACATGTGAGTATAAATAGAAAAGAGACTTTTTCATTTCATTTGTGCAAAGATGGCCATTATAAGAAATTAAATATAATTGTCCTATAATAAATACAAATAAATTTGTGAACATTTCCTCCAATCAAATAGATAAGAATTTGATAAAGTCATGTTACAAACATTCATTTTTACGGTACAGAAATAGCCACGACACGTCAAAACGAGATATTTGACCCAAAAAATCACATTGGGTACAATGACCGGGTACCAGCTAAAGAGTTGTTGATTTACGATAATCAAGCAATATTGTATCGACAGTCGGAGCTCTCGGATGCCAGTAGAGGCGGATCCAGGGGGAGGGGGGCGGGGCCGGGCCCCCTCCCCTGGCAAAAAAATAACTAACTAATTATGCAGAGTTGAAATCAGGAAAATCAATTTTTAGTCAATAATTCTCACTTCCCAGTGACCACATGGTTATCATTAAGATGTGCCACAACTCACCCCATCTTCACTACCATCATTCCACCACCACACATCCAATATTTTCATCATTACCATCATAATCATCATCATAATCATCATCATTATCATCATCATCATCATCATAATTACCATCATCATCATCATCATCAAAATCATTATGATCTTCCTCATCATCATCATAATCATCATCAACATAAACATCATCACCATCATTATCATCATCATAAACAACATAATCATTATAAGCATCATCATCATCATCATCATAATTACCATCATCATCATGATAATCATCATCATTACCCCCATCATGATAATCACCATCATTATCGTCATCATCATCATCAACATCTGTCATTATTATCATAATCCTTACATGATTTAAACAGAAATTATCACCATTGGCGTCATCAAAATTTGACTTGCATAATCTCGTAAACAACAAACAAAAAGAAAAGTCTGTAAATCCATGATTATTTTATACAAAAATAAGAAGGTTTGGTTTTATTTACATTTTAGTCTTGCTCGTTTCATAAAATAGAAATGAGATATGCAGAAGGAAATTGTGTGTTCATTGCAAAATTGTTGTTTCGTTTACTGTCGAAATATTCCCTCGTATTCTCGTTTTCAGTATTTATACGGCACGAGTCTAAAACTAGGTATAATTGCAAGAGAAGTAGCTTTGATGTCTTTGGTGAACAGGGGGTTAACATTGCCTAGACATTTGCAAATTCAAGCCTGTCGCTACCCCCCCCCCCCCCCCTCTCACCATCCCCGTTCGTATATTTCGAGGGCTGAACCTTGCAACAAGTCATGGATAATTTTCTTCTGCGTGATCAGAAGATGCTCGTCCAAGCCTGTAAAAAGAAAGGAAAAAAATTGCATGATGAATAAAGTTGGCTAAGTTGAAGGCATATTTGGTCCAAATGCACCCCTCCCCCCCCCCCCCCCCCCCATCGTATTCATGATTTATCAGCAAGGCTGCATGCTGATCCTCATATTTTTTTAAATAAAAATAAAGACTATATATAATTATATACATATATACAAAAAGGTTCTTTGAACAAAATCTAGTCTTGTTGTCTGGCGAACAACTTCCTCATTTTCGTTTGTGTGGCATGAGTCCGAAACGCGCTTTGAGGTAGGCAAAAGAGTAAGCCTTGTTTTTTTTGGCAAACTTTGCCTCGATGTAAGTTGTCTTTAAGGCAACTCCATCGCTGCCCACTTCGAGGGCTGCTTCGTCTTTAGAACACGCGGTAGAAAAGTTACGAATGACTTGTGCAATTTCTACCGCGTGATCAGACGCTGAACCCAGGTTAAGACGCTGACGTCTTGTGGCCAGTCGCTGTTCCCGTCTCTGCATTTGAGCTGATATGTCCAAGTTTTGAACAGCTGGAAATGAAGCACTGATGGACGGGAAAAATTGGGCCATGTCGAGAGCCGTGTTGATTTCAGCTCCGTGGTCGACTACCGATCCGAGAGCAAGTCGTTGACGGCGACCGTTCATACGTCTTGCCCGGCGATGTCTCTGACCTGACATTTCAATGTCTGTTGGAGTCGTGATAATCATCATGCTGTTGAAGATTTTAAGGAAAATCATAACGGATCTCCTAAATATATACAATACTTCAAAATGAAATCTATTCTATCTCGTTTAATCAAGATATACTTTAAATCTGAATCATTGTATTTGTACGTCTGCATCTCTTGAGACCAAGATGTGAAAACAATACCCTGGTGTAATATAACCAAAAAGATGTCTGCTAGTGGAGTTCTTACTTCGTTCAAGTAAAGCTCAATAATAAACATATTTAAGGTTATGGGGCTGAATCGTATTATATATTTTCCCAAATAGGCCTACTAGAAAAGTACCACGTCCATCTGGGCCTACACCTAATACATCCAACCAACCTCTTGATTATTTTACTTTTATTTCGGGAGTCAATGTAGTATTACTATAATGTTAATGCGTGTGAGTGTATACACTTGCACTATAATGATACTGGGTCTGGGGTAATGATTTTACATTTTGATGTTTATTGTTATTTTTAAATATCTTATTCTTAAACTCACCTTAAAGATCTATTAAGCGGAGTATAGTCGGTAAAGTTCAAGAGAGTACAGAATTTTTAGCAATGATTGCTTCAAATTCGCTTTCGGAAACTCAGAGGAAGATTCACTACGTGTTCTCCACTGTACGATATATCAGAAAGTGTACGGTTTGTTGTGGTTATGATCTTAGCAAAGAGCGTGGTATCCAAGGGGAAAAGACGTGAAGCAGCTAAACTTTCAACCAATCAGCAACGAGGAATTCGATCACATGACCATGACGAAACAATGCCTTCGCGTATACCTTGTCTACGCCTAGCTGTATTGTTACGTTGTATTCGCGCAAAACATGCGTAGCATTATGATAAGGTGGCCCACAGAGCAATTCGAAAATTTTGATCTGTCATTCGGGTACTGCACTAAAGGTATTAAATACACTGATATCGTGTACCACTTAGAAACCTTATTTAACTGTCCTATAATAAATACAAATAGATTTTTGATCATTTCCCACAATCAAATAGATAAGAATATAATATAGTCACGTTACAAACATACTTGCTTAAGGAACAGAAGTCAAAGGGGGAGGCGGGGCTGAGTGGGTAGATATAAAATAGAGCTCAATACCCCCCTCGCTTGCTCACAAATAAATATTCAGACCATCACACCCAACTGCAAAGTATGATATTATCTTTGAACATGTAAAGAGAAAACAAACAATGAAATAATGATCTCTGATAATTGTATCATAATGTTGGGGTGTAAGGGCCTACTAATGTTTAAAAAATGTATATTTTCGCTATTCCTTTGTAGGTGCCCATTTCCCCCAGAAAGTGCCGTTTTTGTTGGTGCCCTCCACCCCCTCCCCTTCCTCACTTTGAATGACGCTCCACCGCCCCTGGTCCACGGGTAGAGGTGATTGTTAAATCTCGAAGAACAAAACATAAACCCATCAGCCTTATTTCAGTGCATTTTATGACATTTTTTTCAGAGCAATTCATCATGAATTATAATATACTAAATGGAAACTGTGGACATATTGGAGTATAGCCATGAGCCTCATGGCTATACTCCAATATGTTCACAGTTTACATTTGGTATATCATAATTCATGATAAATTGCTTCTAAATTGCTCTGAAAAAATGTCATAAAATGCACTAAAATAAGGCTGATATTGCACATGAGAGCATCTAGAATCCAGAGCTTCCAGGGTCCGCTCAAGAGCCTTTGCGCACATTCAGATTTTCAGGGTAAGTGCTGCAGCCCCCTTACTTCAAAAAAGCTTCCTACGCCTATGATCTACAATGTCTGTTTTATTAGGAACCTATAATCTACAACCACCACTTTCGATAGGTTCCTCACAATTTACGTAATCTGATTTGTGAATTGAGTATCATTGTAACCAGTGCTTCTACCATATACATCTATGATTTCTATTTCAGATGTCTCTCTTTATTTTCTGTAAAGTGTGGAAGAAAACAAAGAAACGTGAACAATTTGAAATGCAGGAAAACCCCAGGTTTTTTTAAGTTAGGATATAAAAATTGACGACGTTTGATGGAATAACCCCCTTCCCCCATCCACTCCTGCTCGATTTCTTCGCTACCTCGCGGGGTCACATTATTGTGTCATCCAATTTTTAAATTTATCCTACGTACGCCTGTCAGCACCATTGCTTGACACAATCTTCTAAGAATGACGAGGGAACTCCCCTTCCACATCCAACCCCTCTGTAGCAATATTTAGGAAATACATTTATTTAAGCGTGAGTGTAAAATCAAAATGCTTCATGTATCATGTGTTAAAAAGAGGGACATGTTTTTTCTTTTGGGAGAGAAAGATGAGGGCGAGGTGCAAAATGGCTAGGGGTTAATGCATTAAAATTTTGGAACATAAGATAATAATGACGAGTCACGCCACACATAACAGTAACCCGTGAAATGTTTGGCATCCCTCCTGTAGCTGTGCAGGGTATGTGACAAGTGATGCGTAAGCAACTTTTACAGTCTCACGATGTATAGAAAATAGAGATTAACCTGTTGAGGGCGTTTTCTTTGAAGTTGCACTATTCACCAAAAATGGCGACGAACGGGAAAGAACTGAATGGTGCTACACATACGATGGAGACTGAAGAAAATGGAATCGTTAACGGATTCGAACATTGCTTTGATCATGAACATTGCCCTGCGAAAGCGAAGTGGGTCCGTCTGAATGTCGGTGGAACATATTTTTTGACAACGAGGACGACGCTTTGTCGAGATCCCAAGTCATTTCTATGCAGATTATGTCAAGATGATCCTGACTTGAGCAGCGATAAGGTGAGCGCCCATCCCTCAAACGATGGCTAGCGCTAGTGCAATGCGGGCTTTGTCTGGCCCGACACGGTAGCCTGTTTGATGCAGCGGGTCCTTCTCATCTATATTAAAATGTACTGAATACCGGAATCTACCAGAAACAAGAGGTCTTAGATCTAGCACTTATCAAAAACAAAACTGATACACTCAAGGGCCGGGTGGGAGTATAAAATTCAAAGGAGCTCTGACATCAATGACAATGATGCTGAAGAGTGCATGGAGTGAAGGTCGGAGCTCCAGCTCCAGAGCCCGTTTATGAAAACGATTCAGCGGGTTGGGTCGCATGTTTTCGCAATGTAAAGAAGTAGTAATTACAAGTTTGACTTACAGTGTTTTCTCACTCCTAGCTCCTCTGGGCATCTTTCCAACCACTTAAATTTATAATTTGAAGAAGTCTTTGATGGGAAAAAGGGTGATTCTTCGTCCAAACCTGATGATTCATCCATGTTGTATCATTGATTTAAGTTAACATGGCGAAGAGAAAGTAGGTCTACGCTAGACCGAAAGCTTCAGTCTCTATAATCGTCGGTTGTTCCACTGAGACTACGTCTGGCTCCACTAGACCTCCGGTTATAGAGACAGAACGATCGCCTATGCCAGCCTATGTTGAACTTATTCCGCTAGATTTTAGCCGCTAGGCCCCTCCCACAAACTTGCCACGGCCGTATTGTTATGCCCCCAAAATCCCCCAAAATGTCATTTTACCTCGTTCATTTCCAATTTTAAATTAGGCCTAGGCTATAATACATCGGTTCCACTTACTAACTTCATTGATATAATCCGTTTAATGGTCCCTTTTAAGGAAATTATCGGTCAAAATCGACATCCATGTTGAAAATCTTGCAAGCCGTGTTAAACTCTCGCTGCCGTCAATCTCATCCTTTCTAGTCTACGCCGAAGGCAAAATGATTATGAAGGAAAAACTGTGATAACGCCATTACGAACGTGTAGATGGCGCACAGTTTTTCCTTCATAATCATTTTGCCTTCGGCGTAGACTAGAAGGGATGAGATTGACGGCAGCGAGAGTTAAACACGGCTTGCAAGATTTTCAACATGGATGTCGATTTTGACCGATAATTTCCTTAAAAGGGACCATTAAACGGATTATATCAATGAAGTTAGTAAGTGGAACCGATGTATTATAGCCTAGGCCTAATTTAAAATTGGAAATGAACGAGGTAAAATGACATTTTGGGGGATTTTGGGGGCATAACAATACGGCCGTGGCAAGTTTGTGGGAGGGGCCTAGCGGCTAAAATCTAGCGGAATAAGTTCAACACAGGCTGGCATAGGCAGTCGTTCAGTCTCTATAACCGGAGGTCTAGTGGAGCCAGACGTAGTCTCAGTGGAACAACCGACGATTATAGAGACTGAAGCTTTCGGTCTAGGTCTACGCATGCCAGGTAGCAGCGCAGCAAATATGAATATTCATATGGTAGAGCGCCGTTCACTCAAAATTGCTAAATTGATCATTTTTAGTGTACTAATTTCATGATATAGCATAGTCTTGAGTGCTTGGTGATAATGTTAAATATAATATTGATATCACCAAGCCTTCACTGGCTCCAATAGACATGCGCGGAGCGGCTGGTAAACATACCCTAATGTCATGAAGCCGAAATCACCCCTTCCAGCACCTGACGAATATTGGACAGTGGCTTTAACGTTTGCTATGCCGCTCCTACTCCTAATGGTCCTAATGATGCACTACAAGTTCAAATCGTAGGAAAAAATAACAAAATATTAGCAAATATCTTAACAGAGCGATACATCTTGAAGCTTCCTTTCCACATGTAATGTGAGAATTTACGATCTACATTACAATGATGTTGACCTCTGACATGTGTAATGACACTTCCGTAAAATATGCTGCTTCGGTAAAATGTGCTGTACATGTATTCACTTCCTTCATATACAGCACATTTTACAGAAGCAGCATATATAAAACAGGGTGTCTGATCGCACACTCGAATTTGTGTGCTTAAAACCCTTGCATGCTCATGAGCCTGCATAAGAAAACGATTCAAACAGTGGCTTGGGTCCCTTTTTTTAAAAAATATAAAGAAGTAATTACAATTTTGACTTACATGTACAATATTTTTCGACTCCTCTGGGCACCCGTTCAACCACTTGAAATTATAATATGAAGAAGTATTTGATGGGGAAAAAGGGTGATTCCTCGTCCTAACCCAATTCATCCTATGTTGTATCCTCGATTTAACATGTTGAAGAAAAAGTATGCATGCACAGCACATACCGCGTATTCAGCGTTGGAGCTCGATCCCTGGAGTTATTGTAAACCCTGGTACGTGTGGATGAGAAGTTACAGTCTTGGTTATCAAAGGTGCATGTTTGTTCAAAATTGAACTAAGAGTATCAGTGTATAAAGTAGGCCAATTCAAAACGGTTCCCACCTGGGCCGCGACTGTCGTCCTCAAACCCGGGTTTTAATGTTTGATTCAGGTATTTCAAAATTTAATTTCACATTCATATTATGCAATACAGAACTTAAAATATACAATTCAGTGGACCTTTGTCTGCATATCAAGCATGACAAACTTGACTCCCAACTTAAGCTTGGCCGTGATATACACAATTGTTTAAACTATTGAATTAAGCTCCGTTGAGCTTCAGACTGTTTTTAGCTGCACATAGAATTCTTGTAGAGCCTTTTTACTTGCTCTGTACACTTGGCACGAGACAAGCACAAGGTACGATAATACGCCAACTGCGGTCTGTACTATACTGGAAGAAGAAGAAGAATGGCACATTGCTATTGAGAAAAGCTGTTTTATTTATAATGCCTTCATCATAATATCTTATTTATGAATTATTTAATAGTTCAGCATTTTAATCTTAACTCTAATCTTAAATCTAAAATTATCAAGTCAAATCCGAGTTGTTCAAAACCTGTAATGTCTCAGTCCTACCTGTAGTATAAAGTACCTGGTAACCAATTCTAAAGGTCATTAGGAGTGTTTGTACATAGTGAACTGTTAGTGTTAAGCTAGATCACTTAACAGAAAAATATTTTCTTGAGGTAAAGGTGATTTGACTGAATTAAGCTTTTTTTTGTAGTCGTATAAAGAAACGTATACAATACGTCAATAAAGAATCAGCTTCCCATTTTATGATGAAGTTCTGGATGCTGTATTTTACAAATATCATACAACTGGATGGGCCTTGGCGAAGTTAGCATGACCGCACACTCATTTATTGGCCAGCTGTCATGTTTAGTGACCTCCTTTAGCTACACTTATAGGATGATTCTTTATACGACATTTGTATAAATTTCCCATATGGTCTAAAGCTGTCATGAGAAACAATTTGACCATCATTTTTGTTGTTGAAAATCAGGCAGATAATTCAACCTACACATGTAAACTAGACTCAGGTACAATTATTTTTCATCTAGAACTCTAGCTGTCAGTCGTATTTCCTCCTGCCAAATAGGCATGCTAATAGCTTTTAACCAACTGCAATCAAATTCTGTAATACTGTTTAACCTGTAGGGTTAAAGTGGGGTCTTAGCCGTCCACCGTTTTATTGTAAATAATAGACATCATTCACTGTTTTTAATTACTCCATGCACTGTCACTATGCCAGCACGTTGCACGGACATCCCAGTTAAGCTGTATGATAGCTGCCATCGGGATTATCTCTACAAGTAACAATCAACCTATAGTCCGGGGTTACGCTTATTCCACTTTCTGTTCAGACACAAACTTACCAAAGTGGGCTAGCCCCACCTACATGTATAGTACAGAATTAGCTGGCCCTGCAAAAAAGCAAGGCTAACTCCGCAACTGCAGTGCCAAGCAAATGAATGAGAACAGAAACAAAAAAATAGTCCTGTACTACGCAATGGAGCGTATCGGAGCTGGCGAAGCAAGGAACCCACTGTCCAATCAGAGACGACGTATTCTTGAATATGCATTTCCCAAAAAGCACTACATGTGCGCTTTAATACTACGGAGACTTTCACTGGTAATTGATTTTATTAACAGTATTCTTTTTCGACACATCTTTTATGAACGGATTGATATTACTGAAATGACAAAGAGTTAAGATTATGTTTTCAAAAACTCAGCTAAATAATAAGCGGCTTAACTTTAGAATATCCATACAAAACGTAGTTTGTATGTTGTTGGTTGCCAACGATCGTTAATATTCGTGACCAGTTTCTTAATTTGCCAACGCATCAACAGAGTTCCTAATAAGCAATTATATCTTTTTTTATTATTAAGTATATTTCGAAGTTGTATTACCAAGCGCTTTGTCTTTATTATTTTATTATGCAAGGAAACCCTTTTACTTTCTAGACTTCCCTGTCAGGCACTATTGAGTGACTGACCGACATGTTTTTTTCTTTGGTAATAACATACATGTACATAAAATGAGCTGTAATACGTTCATGAGCATTTGTCTACATCAATAACTCACTACCGGGTACTAGTAATTGCCAAAATTAAACTGATTGAATCTTTGTGCAGCACAAACATACGACCATTCGGTACAAGGGTCTGAAAATCAGACTATTGCTTAGGTGATTGCAATCACATATGTCGATTCAACAACTAATAATCGTTATTTTCCCACAAAAAGCTCATTCGTTTTGAGGGAAGTTCTAAATAAGTATTGTCTTTCAAATGCTGTTGGAATTTAACCTTTTAATTTTTTTTACCTGCAAATGGGACGTACAGGCAGTATCTTTAATGAGGTACTTTATATACCCTGTGGTTGAGGGAGTCATTTGATTCTCATCACACTAGGCTGGTAAAAATCAATAAATTTCTGTTATGTAATAACTGGTGGTAGTGGAGACATTTTGTTATTGATCTCAGTTATTTTGGTCTCTTATTGCCTCTTCAAACTGTGTAGGGACTTTGCTGTTTCTGAATAGATATATGGCATTGATTTAGAGGAGGAAAAAAATCAAAGCTTAAAGACCTGTGATAAAAATAAAACTATACAATGTACATAAATGGAAAACTGATTGGACGTAGAATACAAAAACATACACATAAAACTTATGTTTCTTTTTGTTATTGAACAATAAGCAGATAAATAATTAATTTTCAGCCCCATCTGAACTTAATGAGCTGCATTGTGATAACGTCACGGTTGTAGGTACCCTATGTAGATCAGCAAGCTCGATTGTACGCCGCGACCGGCCAGCCATGCAAATAGAAATTGTGCATGAGAAATTGTTTGAGAAAGTACATGTATGTGAAAGATTATGAGTTTATAACTGCCACATCTCTTGACGGATTTCTTTCAAATTTGTTTGGAGGTGTGTCTTAGCAATATCTACACATCTATAGTTTTTGGTGATGCTGCCGCCTGTGTTCCATCTGTTATAGGGTCAAATGTCATATTTTGGTGGCTATCTTTTGTACAGATTTCTCTAAAATTATCTGTAGAGATGCAATACATGTATACTCTAATTCACACACATATTGTTTAGGTGATGCTGCTCCTAGTCTTGACAATAGTCCAAGCCACTAGTTAGGCCCTAGTGGCCATCTCTACATGTACATGTACATGTACGTCATCCTTTTGTTTCAGGGAGGGGAGAGAGGATCTTTGTCCCTCCTTCGAACATAAGAATGACACAAATATCGCTGCCACTGCCGGAGGATACATTTGCATTGCGCAGCAATACAGATTGCGATATTTCTAGTTTTATACACCAGTCCTTTCAACACTGCTAGGTTTGCAATCCATGAAATAAAACATGTATCATGTACAATGTACTTAACATTGATGCACACATAAGTATACAAATTAAATCAAAGGGATAACTTGAAAGCAGTACCCCTTCCCAGAACATGCCATATTTTTTTATTAATGCCCCCCCCCCCCCCCCCCGATTGCAAACAAGTCGGTAGTGATCTTTTGCTCTATTTTTGTGTTTGTTGTGCATATTGTATGATCCAGTGCATTATGAATAGGTAATACCTACATGATGATGAATGCATGAACGTGATGGACCATGAATATTTCATTTGACCTTTCTTACTTTGCATGCCTGTTAAGTGCTGCCAAAATTGTCATAAAAGCAGTGGGAGAAATGACAACATCATGCATGTAGGGAACCTACTGAAAGAAGCATCTCTAAATACAAATTATTCAAAAGGGTCATTTTGCTCTCCTAAAGGTTACAGTCAAAATATTAGTGTAGAAATCTGATTGCAGGGTTTCATACTAGCTTTTTAATGAAGCAAAAATGTATGGGGACCTGCCGCCTGCACATTTGCACCAGGCCCCTATTTTACATGTAATTTTGACCTTTGTTGTTGATGTTGTCGATATGAATCATATGATCCTACATTTTTATGATCTGTGCATTAACTTTGTGTTAATATTAGACCTACATGTATTCTCTTAAAATAAAGTAGGGTATTTGTAGCGAGTATCCTTATGGCAACAAAGTTGTCACATCATTATATGCACATGAGCTTGCAGACACAACAACCATTTTTGGCTTGGTGAGATGCATGTACAAAAGATGTAACCATACCGGTAGTCATCCGTGCATTCATACTTGCCTCTGCGTAGCCAATGTCTAGATCATCCTAGCAATGACATGGATGTTAAATGGAAAAGGCTGAACTCCAAAGCAATGCTTGTAATTGCAAATACCTAAAATATTATATCAAAAATTGTTTTGCATTAATTCACTTCCAAATTAAAAATTTGTTGGTTCCTTTCTTTTTATATTTATAAGATTCTGAGCCTCTGATTGGTAAAAACTGCAGGCATGCGATTCGCTACTGACTGCTGGACAGTATAGTATAGTATTAAACTATTAATGACTGCTTTGAGAGAAATAGTTGTTTTTATACGATCAAGGGAAGGTTAGAATTGTGCTATTGCCCGAGACTACTAGACCTACTTACTAGAATCTAGGCCTACGAGATCCATTTAAAAAAATATTATGGAGAATTTAACGTACGCGTTTTGGTGCTCTTACTGTCAGCAAGTCTTGCATTTGATCATCATCAAGAAGTTGAAATCTTGGGAGAGTTTCTTCAACCATTTTTGCCTTCAATTTGCAATTTAGTACGATCAAGATTTCCATATTGAAATTACCGACCAATTCTTTGCGGTATCCTCGATCGGTCAAACCAGTTTTTAACATGTGAACCTATGGGTATTTCACCAAGACCGAACTATTTTTCCGGTAACCATGGTAACTGGAATTTTACCGGGAATTTTACAGGAATAGTTAAAGTTTATGACTGCAATCATCCACCCAATCAGATGGCTGGATTTCTTAAGTGAGGTATATAATGAATGATATTTACCGGCATAGTTCTACTTGCATATACAATGTAAAGTAGGCAACGGTTGCGTGTGACGCGCTGTAATGCAAATAAATAAATCCATTTTGACAGATTGGGATATTTTATTAAATTTCCTCATTTTGAGTATTGACACTGGATGTGGTATATAAAACAAATATTGACTGCTTATTTTTCAGTTATATTGCTCCTTGGTGATTTTAAGACTTCACTGTGCCCCTTGACTTTGTCTCGGCCCTCTCGGGCACAGTACAGTTTTGAGATCACCTTGGGCAATAGTTTTAACAGTGTCCCTCAAAGCAGACAATATTTGTATTTAATATATACCTCACTTAAGAAATCCAGCCATCTGATTGGTCGAAATTGGAGTCAGGATTTTAGCCATTCCTTTAAAGAAACGAAAAATGCCGAAACTGGTTAATAGTCCAAGAGTGAGATCCCTCAAAATTCTGGTTACCATGCAAATAGTTAATTTTTGCTGCGATACCCATTGGTTTACGTGTTAAAATTTCCTTTGTGCGAGCGAGGACACCAAACAGTGCTTTTTGTCTGCGATTTCCAACTGATCAAAAATTTCAGTCATTCTTCCAGCAAAGTTAAACAACAGTTTCTCAGATTTTCTGTGATGTTTTAACCAATCTTTACTCAATAAAAGGATAATGTAGGAATTTTTTTTTTTTTTTTTTTAATTCGGCATATAAAAGACATATTGACTGCTTTAATATTCGAGGTCTGGCTGATTTAAATAGGCTCTCGAGAACTTGTACATCTTGCCATGACCCCTCGGCGTGCCTCTGGGTCATAGCAAGAGGTGCACGCGTTCTCCTAAGCCTATAAAACAGCCAGGCCTCTCGAAGCAGTCGATATCTCTATAAAAGTATATTGTATTGATAAAGCATTCTTAACATATTTTGTTTCTTTTCTTTTCGCTCTTTGTGTAGGATGAAACTGATGCCTACCTGATAGACAGAGATCCCATGTACTTTGGGCCTATATTAAATTATCTCAGACATGGAAAATTAGTTATCAATAAAGACTTAGCAGAAGAAGGTAAAGTAGTATTTACATTTTAAAATCCACATAATTATGTAGGTGTTTTTTGAAGTACCGGTACCAACATGATATTATTTATATTTTGTTTAAAAAAACTATGGAATCAACATAAAATGAAATTGTTCTTTGTGGTGTCTCATAAATTCATGTTGTATCCACTTTCCGCCTCTCCCTTTCTCTCTCTTTCTCTCTCTTTCTCTTTCTCGGTTGAGGGGGGGGGGTATTTTACTATTCTTGATGTATGGGTATCTTTTACGATTAGAGGTCAAAATCGTCAGATGCCAGAGGTTTTGATTTTGATTTTGATTATTTTTGATTTTTTTTTGTGTGTGTAGAATATCAACGTATACATTTATTTTCACTATTTCTTTTCAAAGGAAATCAATAAACTTGTAACTATAACTATAACTAAGGTTTATAGTATGCATATGCTGTGAATTCCTGTACACATTGGAAAAGGCATGTAGACAGAGGTTTTTTAAGCTGTGAATGAAACAATGAATTAATACTTTCTAGGTTTCAAACATGTCCTTTTTTCATGATTTCAGTATATTTATTCTGTGTTTTTTTCTCCAGGTATACTAGAGGAAGCAGAATTCTACAATATAACTGCATTAATAAAGCTTGTCAAGGAGAGGTTGAAAGAAAGGGAAGCCAGAAATTCTCAGGTTAGCATTGGATTTTACTTCAAAGCCTTTGGGCCGGGCCCATTCACATGGCATAGTAAACTACTGCATTTTAAAAATAAATTGTAAATGAAAAGCAAGTAGGGATGAAGTAAAAATAATTGCACACAGTGAACGTCCTGCACGTGCACTTACCGGTACTCACTAAATTTGTATGTTATAAAATACATAAATGTGACGAAAATTAAGCTAATTTCATTATATTTTGCCTTGGTGATTTAATATGTTTTTAGGTTTTAGATTTATTTTTTAGTGAGGGTACTTACGTTCTCCTTACCATGGTGTGTATAACATGGAAATTGTTTAAGCATCCAACATTTCTGATAATAATAATAAGTTTAGATTATGTTCTATTTGTTAACTTCTGGAGTAATGTAGCATAGACACAGATTGTTGGTATCCAGATTAATGTGTTTCTTTGTGCAAATAAACTCACACGATTTATGACTTGATTTCTGTCTTCTGCAGGGTTCAAGAAAACATGTGTATCGGGTATTACAATGTCAAGAGGAAGAACTCACTCAGATGGTATCAACGATGTCAGATGGCTGGCGATTTGAGCAGGTAACCTGTCAAAATACCCCTTCCTAGCTCTATAAGATAACAGTGAAAAAAATACACGGGGGCTCAGGGCGAATTTGCCCCCGAAATGCCCAAAAGAGCCCCGAAAAATCAGAAAAGAGCCCCCGTAAATTTGCAAAGAGTTCAATGCAAAAAATGCAGGCAAACTTGAAAAGTAGCCCCCGAAAAATAAATGTTAATTTTTTCCCTATAAGATATATGAGAAGTGTCATAGTTGAGTGGTTTAATCACTTGACTTGAAATTCAAAGGTCGTAGTTCGATCCCCGTCATGGCACTAATGTCCTTTGGCATGGCATCAATCTTTATTTGCCGCACTCAACCCAGGTGAGGTTAGTGGGTACCTGGCAGGAATTAATTCCTTGAAATGCAGGAGCGCTGTAATGGCAGCTAGGCTAAAGCTGGGGTAAAAATTATTGCGCCTCGGAATAGAATTTCTGGATAGACGGGGTTATAGAAATGCCTATTATTATCATCATTATTAAGGTGTTGCTGTGGTACAGATGTGAAGGGTTTGTGGCCATATGTGCTTGCTGCTCATCAGAAAATTCTTTACTATGGTTTTGCAGTCGGCAGGAGGATAGCTATGTGCTGAATAGGGAGGATCTAGTTATAGTAATGTTGCTGTTGCACTGACCCAGGTTTAATCCATGTGGTGCCACTAAGTTTAGAAATGTGTATCAAAATCATCATTTTGTGTTTTAGTACAACTTACATGCTGTCATTCCCAATTTCTCTTTCCTTTCATATTATTTTGATGATACATGTATGTCACTTCACAATTCATAACTTGATTTGAAATTCCAGAAGAAAAACAGGCTCTTTTTTTAATCTGAAAGGGTTTTGTTTTGAAGCAACCTCTCTGTTTGGGATAGGGGGGGGGGGGTATAGTACTTCTGTAACAAAACTTACAAAAATAAATAAGTAATTGACTTTATTATTTAAAGATTTTCATTGCTTAGTTTACAGAATTGTATCAATTTGTATGGAATGAAGGATCTTACAAAAGCTGTGTTTCGTGGCTTCATTATTTTTTTTCATAGGAGATGAAGTTCTGCATTATATTACTTCACTTTTGTTATCATATAGCAAAGGGAAAGTCTGTAAACTTTCGGTGCCAAACAAAAAGAGAAATGAGTTGACTTCCCTTCAGGATATACCGTTTGAAACTGTTTTAACTACACATGTATATATCTACTCCTGGCTGCATTCCAATTGGCATGCTCTTTCTTCCTTTAAGTAACTACATTCTCAGCATACAGAAATTCATCTGCTAGATACATGTATGATATCATATTACACATAATGTCATGTGTTATACATGTACATGTAAATAGGGTTATTTATATATCTGGTTTTCTACCTGTAATATGTACATTCATGTACTGTCTCAATTTTGTACTTGCTAGATGAGATGTACATTATAACGGTTTTAAAGAGTATGTTTCTTGCTAAATTTGTTTGCAGATTTATAAAGCCCATGCCAATTGGACATATTTCTGGCCAATGTTCTATTGACCGTAACAAGACTTTTTTTCTCAAGGTTTTCAAGATCATATGTCCATGTCCTCATAAGCTGTGTCACAGAATAATTGAACTTGTCATGGCAATTCCAAGGTATTTTGTCCCCTACATTACTGACTTTGTCATTCTAGTACATGTATTTCTGTTAATCACAATGTATATCAAAATAGCCCTACAGCTTGGAGCAGATCAAATATCAAGCAAAATTACCCTTGCGATATTGTTTGTTGTTCAGTTTCCTTTTATTCATGGTAACGTATGGGACAGCAAATACCTTGGACTTTCCCAGTTTAATCTCTGTATGTTTAACCGACATCCTCCCAAATTTGGGGAATAACCTGCCATTTAAAAAGAGAGACCAAGAATTGTCTGTGGACAGAACATGAACAAACAAGACCAAAATGCTGCAGTACTTCAAATTTTTCAAGAACGTTCTCTCCTTTTAGGCTGTTCAATTCCAATATTTTCATGGTATCTGTACTTATATCTTAAATCATATTTAATCTAGTTCTGTTGTTTTGTTCTGCTGTTTTTTTTAATGCAGATGCTTGTACATGATTTCCTTTTTCTTTGTTTAAGCATGCCTTGAGAATCTGATTTCAGGTGGATTTGGGGCCTAACAAATCTCATGTATTATCATTATTTTATATCTCTGTATAGCTCGTAAACATAGGCTCATCCTATAACTATGGCAATGAAGACCAGTCAGAATTCTTATGTGTGGTGTCAAAGGAACTTAACAACACAGGGGCATCAACAGGGGAGAACTCAGATAGGGCAAAGGTAAGTAGCTTTTTTTCTTCTTAATTTCCGACCCATCCAGGACAGCAAATTCGAAAGGCTAGTGAACGACCTTTTCTTCTTCAAATCGTTATCTCTTTAGATTCAACTACGCATAAGTCGATTGGTTCTATTGATATGCTGCCTGATATTTTTTTTTTTTTTAATGTATTGTGTTGCTCATAATTTTCAATGACACCTGCCCAATCATTTGTAAATATTGTGAATCTGTTTTAATTCAATGAAAAATACAAAAACAGGAACAAATAATTGATTGTACAGAAATGTTTTTTTCTCTGGGTATGCTATAAACTACATTTTGTGGATTCGAAGTTGATTTGCCAAACCACAAAATGTGAAAATTTGTTCATATTGGGGTAATGCTACGTTTACACTATGTTCCCGGCGGCCACGGCAACCCCGTTTCGGGCCACCGTGGACGAAACGGGATTGACGTGACAGATTTTTAAACTGTCAAAAAATTTGCCACGGCAGTCACGGTGCGGATGAGAAACCTAGTAGGCCGTAGTAAAACGGGGCTAATGTAACACAACGTGACAGTCCTTAATAGGCCATAACAAAACTTTGAGGTGGTCCGTAGTGGGACGGGAAGCCTGCGCATTCCCCGGCATCTTACGGTCCTTTCAAGTTTTGTTACGTTTAGTGCACGTTTTGTCAACGTTGCTTCACAGTTGCTGCGCATTTTGTCCCATTTTGCCACGTTTTGCCAAGGTTTGCCTTGTTTTTCACTGCAGGCCAGGGTGTATGGTAGCCGTTTTGTCGCGTTTCATCATGGCGCATCCCGGCGTCTGACGGTTTACTGGCGCGGCGCGTTGCGTTCTGACATGGCGCATACGGTCGGGAGGAAGTATATAAAAGACGGGCGCGGCAGGAGCTTCATTCGAGTCTGAGCAATCAACGACACATTACTACATGTACAATACAAAGAAAGAAGGCCAAGCCATGCCACCAAAGAAGCCAAGACGTTCGAAGGCCCTCCGTCCTGCACCACCACCACCAGTAGTAGAGGAACAGGAACAGCCTGAAGATCCTCGCCGTTCACCCCTGCCAAATGAAGAGAAGCATGCTAATGCTGCTGACCCGGTCCCTGAACTGGAACATGAACCTGAGGCTGAGGAGGCTGGGGAGGCTGAGGAAGACGCACCAGCTAGGAGGAGGGCAGCCCCCAGGGTCGTCACCACCTTTACGGAGGATGAGAAGGAGCTCATCATTGACTTCCTCCAGCAGCATCCTACGCTGTACTTTATTGCTTGGGAGGCCTTCTTTTTATACCGTGGGAAACGTGAGGTACCCCATCAGAACGTGACGGGCCAGGAGGGAATGTACTGGCATCCGTGGTAGACCGGGGCCGAACCGTAGTGCGCCTTGGAGCCTCCGGGACTCAGCAGCCCCTTTCCCTGCATGGCCCGTCACGGATACCGTGAAAGACCGTGAGAAAACTTGACAAGACCTAACAAAACTTGAACACAGAGAAAAATATTGCCAAAATCCCACGGTGCACTACGTTTCGGGCAAACGAGGCTGCCTTGGCCACTGGGAACATAGTGTAAATGTAGCATAAAGGCACTGGATTTGAGGTGAAGTGTAATTAATTAAAAAATATATGCAAGGGATGGTTATTCAACAGGTCTTTGTATATTATGTCCCCTTCCTATTAAAGTCGATGTCAAAAGAATCCTGGCACTTTGAGATTTCATCCATCAATTGCAGTAAGCACCTGTATTTTTAAGCATGTTTTTGTTTAATCTTATTGATACCTAGAACACTCCGTGAATTTGTAACCTAACACTTTAAATCTCTATTTCTCTTCCTCTTTCAGATTCTTCAGGAAAGGGCATCAAGATCTCGAGAACACAGGACATAGGGAGAAGATTGCATTCTCTATCTCAACTTCTTCATCCCCATCTCTCGTGTGATTTCTGCAAGCCTTAGGCGGTTCTAGATATTGTAAAGAAAAAAGAAAAAAGAAAAGAGGATTTGTGTGTGCATGGTTTGACCTTCTTTTTTTTTTAATTCAAAGTTTGTCAGCTTTTCTTTGAGTTTTCATCCTTTTTATATTTAATGGTTCATTGACAACGAAAGCACTTGGCACTCAACAATCCCATGTTGAAAGAAAATTGAGGAAGGACTTGTTAAAAACTTTGGATACAAATTACCATGGCAACAAACATTGTGTGTCGTCATCATGTAGTGACACACCTAATAAAGTTGTCTGATCCGACATCATCATGCAGTGACACACCTAGTAAAGTTGTCTGATCCGACATCATCATGCAGTGACACACCTAGTAAAGTTGTCTGATCCGACATCATCATGCAGTGACACACCTAGTAAAGTTGTCTGATCCGACATCATCATGCAGTGACACACCTAGTAAAGTTGTCTGATCCGACATCATCTTGCAGTGACACAACTAGTAAAGTTATCTGATACGACATCATCTTGCAGTGACACACCTAGTAAAGTTGTCTGATCCGACTTCATCATGCAGTGACACACCTAGGAAAGTTGTCCGATCCGACATCATCATACAGTGACACACCTAGTAAAGTTGTCTGATCCGACATCATCATGCAATGACACACCTAGTAAAGTTGTCTGATCCGACTTCATCATGCAGTGACACACCTAGTAAAGTTGTCTGATCCGACATCATCATGCAGTGACACACCTAGTAAAGTTGTCTGATCCGACATCGTGATCCAGGCTTTATGAGGTCATTGAACTTCTAAAAGGTCACTTCCGGAATGTCAACTAGAAAAAGTTATCCTGTGAAAGGTCAATGTCAAAGGTAGTCTGGTTAGTGTACCATCCCTGAGGTGGCATAGAAATACTAGGAAGTGCATTATTGTTGAAAGAAAGAGGTAGAGAAGTCTTGTCTCCAAGTAATTGCCAGACATTAATAACGATTCCCAAAGATGTAGTCTTACTGAATCTAATCACTGACAAGGAATAATGTAAGGGGTGCTGGGTCTTGTACCCCAAAAGACTCTGAACCATTTGACTAAGCTACATGTAAGTAGCTAACATTTTATAGCAAAGTCAGTGACATCCATCTGGAGTCAATAAGATTGCCAATTTTGTCCTTATTGCTCAAATTTTGATCAAAGGACGTCACGGAACCATCAATATACTGTAGTTGAGTGAGTTCAGATAGAGCATAGTCATGCATGAGTCCAGATAAGTCTTATGACTGAGACAAGGTTTACCATTCACAGCCCTCTAGAATGTCTGCATAGGTTTTAACCCCTAAGAGATTCTGGTTAGATAAATAGTAGTTTAGCCTTTCCAATATAACTCTCCACAAAGAAGAAAGAATCAAATCAATTGGCCGCAAAAACAGAAACATGTATGCAGGCTAATCCCTAACAAAATTGGTATTTGGTAAAGATAAATTTTGTTAGAAGCAATATTGTTATGAAAGCTAGATCAAATACATATTTCCTCCTAAACCTCTTGCAGGATTGCAGAGGAACTAAACAAAATATGACTGATAGACTTGATCTTTCATGCACTGAACCATCTTTTCATTTCAAGTAGATATCTACAATTTGAATTGCACATCTTTCTATGTCAAGTAAGGGCATTACAATTAATTGAGCACAGGAATTGATGGTTTCGATGTTGCTGCCAGTGTATTCAGTGCCTTCCCCTATAAATGTAATATATTATGAAATGAACTTTGAAATTTTTTGTTCCCTTTTTCCTATTTATACAAGTACTTACCATGAAGAAAAAAAAATGATGTCATTAGTGTTTAATGCCAGCATTCTTTCCTCAATGTATATGATTCTAGTTTTCAGAGCACCTTTTTTACTTGTAGGTTTCCTTATTCATTGGTATGGTTTATACATACATTGCATTTTTTGAGATCCCCCCAAAATCATGTTTGTTGCTGCCTATAGAAAGAATTAAAAATGAAAAGAGGATTTTTAAATATTATTTTTCATTTTAGATGAGTTATAGTACCAAAATCTTTTTAAAATTTGAATTCTTCTTTACATCTTGTTTTAAGCATTCATTATTTAGACCTGTATTCTTGCATATTATTTTTTAATGCCTTGCCCACCGAAGATGGTACTGGACTGGAGGCACTATGTTTTTGGATTGTCCGTCCGTCCCGCTTTCTTGTTATTGCAATATCTCAAGAATTTCAAACTTGATGATAGCTTGTATCACCATAGGAAGACAATCTGATTCGATTTTAGATAAACTATGTCAAAGGTCACAGAGGTCAACTTATGAAATACCCGGTATTGGACTCGTTATCGCGATATCTCAAGAACCACAGGAGATATGAGGTTCAAACTTAGTTATACAGTGTAGTATGCATTATTATTGAAAGACAATCTCATAAGATTTTTGATAAGTAGGTCAAAGGTCAAAGAGGTAAAGTTTTGAAGTTAGAGGTATAACCCTTGTTATCACAATAGGTCAAGAACTACTTGCGGTATGAGCTTCAAACATGGTGACAGTATAACTAAGGAAGATGATCCGATTACCTTTTGGGGTTATTAGTTGTCAGTTGATCATAGGCTTTTTGTTTTCATCATGATATGTCGTCAATGAATTCATCCGTTTCCTATACTGAACAAATTCAGGGCAGAGGCTTATAGGAGACGTAGTGGCATTAAATAAATATATATGTATTTTTTAACTTTTGTTTTCTACTACTCTTACATATCCTGGTGCTGTCTAGTCAATATTTGTGAGTAATCAGTTTTTTACTTCATGTTTTTATGCTTTTCCACAATGATTATTGCAAATGGTGAATACAGCCACAAGATAGTTTCTTTATTTGCTCCATGGATCCATGTTCGCTCAAAAAAGACTTGAGCTGTGGTAGAAACTTTGCCTACAACGAACTTATTCTAGGTCAAGTAAGTTATGCTGACATTGGACATATACTCATCAGGTCAAGAAAAATGTTTGGCGATTCTTCTTCCTGAGGAATAAAAAAAGAAAGAAAGAAAAAAATGTCTTTGCCTTTGAACATCAAATTTTATCAACAAAGATTATTTGTGGGTACGGTTAGGGTTTTCCTGATCTCCATGATTTAAAATGTTTGTTTTGTAATAGTTGTATCATAATCCAGCATTTGCAATATTGTTAGAGAGTCATATACATGTATATCCTTGAGTGTTCTGTAAAAAATATTTTCACTTTTTTTGACAGAACCTTACTTTTTACCTCCATTTTAAACTTTTTTTTGGCTCTTCTAACTTTCTGTTGTAGTGTTATCAGCTGACTAGAAATATACTTCAGAGTATTTGCAAATATTTATATATATTTGAAACTCGTAATCATAGCTGAAATTAGTATTAAGCAATAATCATGTTTCAATTCAATAGAGAGAGCCTTTCTCTTGGTCAGTAGTTATTAAATTTTTTGATAACCGATTTTTGACCCTTTTGCAGCACTGGCATATGACACCTTTACTTTATTTCAAACAATTATAAATGCCTAAGTAATCTTACATTTTTATGCCAGCTTGTAAATTAATAAAAGTTTTTTCTATTTCCGTACCCTTTTTCTCTTCCTCCTAATATGCTTGAGCTGATTCAACATTTCTCATTGTAATATATAAGAAATTGGAATTTAACATACCGAGTGGCTTCATGCTTGTACTGATAATTGAATTAGTCAAAACTCAGCATAGCAGATTTTTTTAAATCTCTGTTTTATGAAGTTTGTTGGTTGGTTTCTTTGAATATCTTGTTGCATCAATGGATTTTGGTACATTTTTTAATACGGACTAGAAATTCGATGTTCAGTCTTTTTTTGGTTTGTCTTTTTTGGTTTGTCCAAGAAGTGCCATGATTTTTTTTACTTGGGAGATATAATGCTTTTAGTCAGTAGTCTAATTGAGCATTGCATTATGATAGGGCTGTGTTACATAAATATATGGGAATCTACCGGTATTCCAGTAAGACAGGTGTGAAGCTTTCCTGTACAAGGAAATACAAAGACATTTGAACTATCATGGCTTGTTTGGACCATTGGTCATTGGTTAAGTTCATGTTTATTTGTGTGTCTGACAACTATTGTTGTTTATCTTTGTAACATTCCTGGGCCATGTAAAGGTTCTATCTGAATGTATAATCATCTTTTATGGACCACTCTGGGCTGATTTTCTTCCCAGTTGGTTTAACTTTGTTGTGTGTGCATTCACTGTGCAAAGATCCATGTTCTATTGGAATCATGAGATGTGTCTAGAAGAAAATGCACATGCTTGACTGATATGTATTAAAACTGACCTGAGCTGGGGCCATTTAAAAAATGATGGTGATAAAATCATGATAAAATCAGGAACACAAAATAAATTATCTTGATTGTAGGCCATAATGAAACCGTAATACCTAGGTGTAAATGTTATGGCATGAATAGATTTTGTAGCATAAAGTAATAAATGATTTTGAGACCTAATTAATAAAGAACAATTATATGCATTAGCAATATACTATACGTTCTGTTTGTAATTATAGGTCTAGTATGTAAGTCTAACATAGGAATAAGTGTACAAGTTCATGTGTACACTAAGAGCTTTTGGTTAGGACATTAAACAGGCAGGACATACCATGAACTGCAAATTGAAGGGGAAAATAGAAGCTTTGTTGATGATGTGATGTCAGAAAAAAAGCACAAATATTTTGTGACAATTTTGAAACAGTTTCAGTGTTGAAGTAAATTGCTGTCCTTCTTCTTTATATAAGTGTCATTTTATATGCCTTTTTTTTCTTCTTGAACATACTGTGTTCATGTTTTTTAATCTTCTTGTGTATCTATTTTGGGGCAGGCCCCAGACGTGCATTTTAGAGGCAACTAATTCAACATGTTTTAATTTGTTGAGAAAACTTCAGTTTCTTTCTCTGTTTTGTTATTTGTGTACAGAGTTTGAACACATCGGTGTTGAAAACATGTATATTGCCATTATTAATGCACAGGCAAATTGTATCATATTTTAAGTATTTATCTCTTTTCTTACTTTGTCATGTGTGTACTTCAAGCAGGTCTTTTGTTCAAAGACCACCTGCAGAACTTGGGGGGGGGGGGGGAATGGGCAAAGTGAAATTACTGAATGAGATCACCGTGAAACATGCCAAGGACTTGCCCTCACAGATTTCTGAGTTTTTGCACTGAATGTGCGGTGGGAAATTGTAGCATTTAAAAAGAAACTGCCTTGAAAGACGTAATTTTGTCTGGTAACATTTTGGATATGGTTTCAGCAATCCTGCTCATTTTCATTAGAAGAATATTTGCTTTTACCAGATAATCACACATCTCTCTTTATACACAAAAGCTAAATCAAAACAATTTTTTTTGTTGACTTGTGTCAAGATCTCATGGACAAAAAAGTGCTTTGATGTTTCTCTCCCTTTGTGTTTGAGATAATATGTGTTGCAAGTTCTTTGGATGGTGGGGGGGGGGGGGGGGGGTTGGGGAGGGGAGGGTGGTCAGGGGCGGACTTGGACTGAAATGTGGTTGGGAGATTTCGATGCGACTGGCCCGCCTGACCTACAATTAGAAATGAATTAACCCATTTTTCCCATACTTGTCAAAAAAATCACTGATGGAGATATGGCAGGCACATCAATTGACAAGCAAATTTGAGAACCAGGCTTTTACCACAAATCAACCGGCCCTCAATCCAAAATACCAACCAACCCATGAGGAAAACTGGCCAGTCCGCCCTTGTGGAATTGCAATATTTCATGTTCTTTTGAAGTGCTGCCTTGCTCTCTTTATTTGCTTTTTATATGCAAATTAATTGTAGACAATTACTTATGTACAAATATTCTATGTAAATGCTGTCACCACATGAGATACAATGTAACATGTTAATGCTTATGTCTCGTTTGAATGCAGGATCAAGATTCAAATGTAATCTCTGAGTTTATGTTAGTTTGAAATTTAGCCCAATATCTAATTAGAATGTCATTTATAGTCATACTTTATAGTTATCCTACGTGTATCTTTAAACCTGTGGTATATAAAAGGCCACCTGCAGAATACGTGCTAGTAGACATGTATAGACAGCTTGCTATTGAGAACAGGTACAACTTTCTAGTGATTCATTATGTTGATGACAATGTATAGACGTTCATCCATTAGTATTTCATTCAGGGAATATATTATTTATAGTTACCCATTGTGTATACTCTAGTTGGTAACTACACTCGGTTAAAGATCGAAATTTAACTAATTTATGCAAACTTATACAGACATGTACAATGTTCATAAGAAAGCATATACAGGGTACAAAATAAAGCATGACTTCTCCCATATTTTTGTGATCTTTTTTTTTTCTCTGTAATTTTCTTTGTTAAATATTTGAATTTTTTTAAGTGAAGAGAAATTGAAAATTTGTAAGGTGTAGTGCGAAAAGTTCTTGATGAAAAAAACTTGATGAAAAAATGTTTTGTTATTTCCTACATAGAGCAGAACAAGGACTAATTATAAGCTTAACAAAAAGTTGGAGGTAGCATATTTTGGACTGAAATGGGCTCTTTGTTCTTGTTTTCAAAAAATTCTAAGTCAGTATCTTGATTATGTATCTTCTTTTGTTTTGATTCTCAGAACACATTTCAAAACACTGTGGAACTTAAAGGAACATGTTGAGTCAGAATCATGTTTATTTGCAGAAAGTGAAATTAAATTTAAAATGTGTTTGAAATTACAAGCTCATTGTTGATCATACCTTATCTTATTTGTTCTATAATCTATAGTGCCATGGCCATTTTCAATTATTCATTTATTACTGTTACTTCGGAGTAATTGATTTGTTTTAAGATTATGATTTAGGATGATTCTTATTGACAGTATAAAACAGTTACCATAGTTTTGAAAATTAGAATAACGTATTTAGAGGGTTTTTTTCTTTTTGGTAATTATAGCTATCTGGGTTAGCATTTTGATGAAATTCCTTAATTTCTGTATAAAGATTGAAATTTGTTACATTCCACATGTAAAGCAAAATGGATGTAAAAAACAATGTGATTTTAAATATACTAAAGCTTATTCCACAGTAATAATAGATGCTCTGATAAGAAAACAAAAGTCATTAACATATATATATAGTTATAGCATACTCAAAACAGACTAGCCTATTTCATTTAGTAGTTCGAATTTTGCAGTTGCAGTTCCTTATAGCAATATTTGTTCAGGTTTGATCATAAACTTCATGATATACAAATTGCATTTGTACAAAAACTATTTATTTATGAGTGACTCTATGGAGTTTAGCACAAATTAGTGTAGAGTAATAACCTGTGAAGTCAGTCAGTTGCATGATGCAGTTTGGCTGCCTGCCATACAATTAGACACATTTTATTTAGATATGAGATATATGTATTGTAGGAAACCCTTCTCACACAAATGTAATATAATGTCGTACAAATTTTGTTTTTCTTTACTTTCGATTGGTCATTGTATTTCATTTTATGGAAAAAGTAAATATTACAAATCACTTCTTTAAAAGGGAAATGTCAACTTTTGTTGCAGGATTAACCTTTTAAAAAATGTTTTGAAAGAATCTTTCTACTTGTTAAGAGGTCATTGTTATACCTCCACAGGCTTCTTCTGTAGGGAGTGGTTCATATCTTCTCTTATGCCATAAGTCATGTTCTGTAACAAGTAATATTTCTTTTAATTGAATCTGCCTTCATTTTTGTATGACCCACCTACAGAATATCTTATGCTTGTATTTTTTTCCAAGTCCTATCTGGAGTTTTTCTTACAAAATCAAAATCTACAGAAGACTTGATGTCAGTCTGCAATATTTTCTTAGAAAATAGTGCCACTACTTTCTATTCATGACTTATGACTGTTGGAAGTTCCTTATTTTTGAGATGCTAGCCAGACTTGTCAAGCTGAATGTAATAGCAAACGGACAGTAGTTTATAAGCCCCTAGTGATGTAGCTTTTCAAACAAGGACCAATACCAAGAAATAATATGAATAAGAGCCAAAAGGATGGAAGGGACAGATAAAGCCCGCGAGATAGGTCTCATCGGCCTTTTGAAAACAAAGTTGAACCTGGTTGAATGAAAGTGTTGGTCTTTATTCTGTACAAATCTCTGCATTTTTATAAACAAAATTAATCAAAAATATCAGTCCAGTCATAAAATGACAGTGAGAAATTAATGACAAAGATGTTTGTTCATTTTTAGAATTATGGTACTTTTATTTTTTATATAGAATGAAAAGGTTGTCAATTTGAAGCTGCGTATATGAGTGAAGTAATTCTACCCTCCTAGTCTGCTGGGTTTACACGTTCTTGTACAGAATTGATATCAATCCTAACTTATTTGCTATTGATATCAATCGCAACTATGTAAAGAAGAGATAGGAGATGGATTTGGATCATTCGCAACTCTTTATAAGATGGGGCCCAGCCCTGGCTAAAGTAAGGCCGGCCAAGCTTTTGGGGCTTATTGTTGAAAAAATTCTTGGTATTGATCCTCAAGCCTTGTTCACATATGAATTGGTAAACCGCCTTCAAAAAAAATCATCGTTGCAAAAATGAAACCCTTAAAGTGTAAGTGAAGTAGGGTGAACAAAAGGTTAGTTGTAGATCCCTTCTCATTGATTATGTGTAATAATAGTCAAAAGGACATTACGCATGTATCATTTCATTTTGCCACGGTGGTATTTTTAAAGGCATTTACAGCATCATAATTGTGTGAATAAGGCCTAACTAACTAAGGTAGGAGTGTGATCGCAATATTATGGGAGTGTTATTATTTGGGAGAGGTCTGTGACCTTTTGTCCAAGGCATGCTTTAAATCGTGTAAATTACTAGTCGATTGAATAAAAAACTTTTACATAAACGTGTATTCCTGCAGTCAAAACTTTGCCTTGATTATTGTCACCATGTGAGAGGAATATCCATCTTGATTATGAACATTTATCATTAAGAATTTTTTTAATGGAATATGATAAGGAATTAGCATCAATGTGAATCTCCCTTGGATTCATTTTTGATCCTATTATATTACTTTTTTCTAAATGCAAAGTCATCACAAATTATGTTTCTACCAAGGACAATTGGAAAATAGAGTCAGAAATGTTAAAGTAGCTATTCATTGATTTTAAAAACTTTATTTTCATTATTGCAAAGTTGAAACAAGGTTATCAAAATTCAATGCTTGGAAACATTCGAAGTAATGATTATTATAACGTACAAAATGCTAAAATACAGCCCCGGTATATGAAGAGCTCTCCGAACGCTGCCGAGATGTGTGACATCACATGACGGACATGATGTGCACAAGCAGACGATGTCCCATGACATCTCACACATTTTCAGTGCCTGTTTTTTCATCTTCTCTTGAGTTCTTTCTCTTACTTCACTACCGTCAGGCTAAATGTATAATCTATTGCCTCGCTCTAAACCCGCGCATGTTTTTATTTTGATGACAAATGCAGCAATACAAAAATAAAGGAATCTGTTGCTTGTAAACAAAATAAGACGCCATTGTATCTCGGCTGCACACCGCGGTATGTTAGGCATTTCAAGAGGGAACGAATGCCGTCCTTAATATCATTACGGGGTTTTTTTCAATTTGAAAGTGGTTTCTTTGATTGTTAATTAACCCCCTATCCTGTGTATTTACAAACAAGATTTTAGTTATCAGAATCGGTTTTATATCCCCTTTTGAATGGTTTGAAATGCCATCACATTTAAATACACTAAAACTCTTTGTAATTTGAGAAATAATAGCTTTCCCCCTCTCTCTCCATCTCACACTCCCCCTCACACTCCCCCTCCCAATCCCCTCTCTCTCTCTCTCTCTCCCTCCCTCTCTCCATCTCCCCCTCCCAATCCCGTCTCTCTCTCTCCATCTCACACTCCCCGTCCTAATCCCCCTCCCCTCTCTCCCTCTCCATCTCACACTCCCCCTCCCAATGCCCTCTCTCTCTCTCTCTCTCTCCCTCTCACACTCCCCATCCTAATCCCCCTCCCCTCTCTCTCTCTCCATCTCTCTCTCTCTCTCTCTCTCCCTCTCACACTCCCCATCCTAATCCCCCTCCCCTCTCTCTCTCTCTCTCTCTCTCTCTCTCTCTCTCTCCCTCTCACACTCCCCATCCTAATCCCCCCTCTCTCTCTTTCTCCATCTCACTCTCCCCTCTCTCTCTCTCTCTCTCTCCTACATCAACACTCTGATGCAAATACAATTCAATCCACATGAACAAGACAGTACAAATAGCTTTACTTTGTGTAATGCTTAAAAATATAGCACATTTAATAGTCATCTTTATTTACATGTATACGGATATTGTAGGTAGGCAAATACCGAGCCTCCCATTATAACATCATGTTTTCTTGTCAAATTCTTTTTAAAAAAGACGAAGAATTTGCATTTTTATCTATGCATATCACAAATGACTGGTACAAAAAAGTAGTACATGTACAGAGTCTAAACATGGTAGATTGTACACTGTCGGCATATTTTCATTGTACAATAAAGAGAGGAGAAAAGCTCATTAAAAGAAAACGTTTGGCCTAACATAACATATTTTATAAAACAGTCATTAGAAGAAAAAAATATACACGTTGGCTTAGCACATGCTATAGTTTGAGGTTAGAAGAGTACATGAGGATGTAACAGGAAATAATAGCAACTTAATCTGAATCATATAACTGAAATCATGGTCATAAGGTTAATTTGTTACAGTTAGTTTGCCATTATATATTCATGAGAATACAAAACAAGTGTAAGCAGTGAGTGGGAACGGATTAACAGGCCCAAAGTGTAAATGGGCATGTATTTGTAATTGGGTTGGAATATCCAGTTCATCTAGGGAATTGAATATAATGAAACAAATACAAAATAGATCTTGATCTGATTAAGTGTTAAATTCAGAACTCTTAGGGTTGGCAATTTATGAGTGGGAAACGTTTTATGTGAATTGTTTCTCATGATAATCCTGCAAATCAATTTCTTACTCTGCTCCTATTCCATTTTTGAATACTTTAAAACAACAACCTTTTCCATACGGTCATTATTCAATAATCACTTTTGGCACCATCTTCACTTTACAATACATAAAAAACATTTGCTGGATAAAAAAATGAAGAACCATACTTACATTCTATTTTCTTTAAACACTTATTATGAGAGTTAAGCTATAGTATTAGAAGATATGAAATCATGATGGTCATTATCATTATGATATTCTAATTACTTATAACTTGAATGTAGTAACAGTAATTACGATTATTTATTCAATTTTTGCTGAATTGAGACAGATACTGATTACTAACTTGTGACACCCACAAGAAATGTAGGTTTTTATTGATATTTTCTTGAAAGCAAATATGAGGGCTTAATCATTTTCTAAAAATCCTTTAATGAGTAACTGTGATGGCAGAAGAAAACATGTGCAAACAAATTAAATACTTTCATACTATACTATCTTTAGCAATTATGATGTACTTATGTGATTACGACAGGACTGTCATTTGGCAAATAAGGAATAAAACAGATGAATAATGATGATCAATAATATGATGAAAGGGGAAATAAATAACTCATTACTTATGATTTGCTTGATCTTTCCCAAAAGGGCTTTTAAATACTAGTTGATATGGTCTAGAAAAGATGCACATTGTGAGAGGATGGATACAGGCAGGTTATTACCTTTCCCTATAAATACATGGGTATAAAAATACAATCATAAATAAGAGGCAGCTTGTCATAATTTATGATCTGATATTGTCTGCCCTATATATTACAAAGTCGGTACAAAGCTTGCTTTCTTCTTAATCATCTAAAAAATAATGCAGTACAATAAATTCGGCTCATCTGAGGCATTTCATGGAAATGATCAGTCAGAAGAAGCTCTCTTAGTAGTAAAAATCACTAACTTGGCATATTTCTTTTTACCTTATAAACATACAAAACATTGACATTTAAAATGGTCTAGAAAATCAGAAAAGAAGAGGATTGAAGATAATGTCTCCTTTTCTTTTGTTGCATAGGTCAAGGATTTCTTCTTTAATTATAAATCTTCAAGAGTTTACATGACTCCATATATATATAACTGAATGGGAACACCCAAATTATAATATTTGTTTACTATGATGCTCATGATTTCACTAGTTATGATACGTTTTATTTCTAACCGGTTGCACTACGGATTCCTGCACTTTTTCTGTGGCATTAAGTTTTCTTTAACATTTCTAATTTGCAAGAGTTGAATAATCATTTATAATTATTTGTATTGTTGTTAAATTGGACATAGAATATTTCACAAGGGAATGAACTTTCCATGGAGACCCTTATTTCTCTTTTAAGAAGAAAAATATAGCAATTCTTTGTCCAAACATGTCGTTAAGAACTTAAATCCTTGAGCAAGATATACTGCCCTCAGGAGGGAGGGAAGAAACAACATTTTCTTCCTTAAAGGTACTATGTCCCTTTTGCAGCCAACCTCAAATGCTGTAGAACTTTGCAGGAATTATGAATATGTCATGTAGGTCCTATCTCTGAAATTTAAACGTTAGCAGTGTCCTCATATTCAAATTATGCAAGGAAAACCGTTTACTTGCTAAACTTCACTGTCAGACACTATTGAGTGACTGACTGGCTTTTTTTCTTCTTTGGTAATAACATACATGAAAAGAGTTGTAAAGGGTACATGAGTATTTCTCTACATCAATAACCCACTTTTTGTGATGGCCAAGATTAAACTGATTGAATCTTTGCGCAGCATAAAACGTATGACCATTCGGTACAATGATTTGTCTGAAAATCAAGACTATTACTTTTGGGCTCTATAGCCCTAAAGTCGATTTTACAACTAATAGTCGTTATTTTCCCACTTGAAGACATTTTCAAGCCCCACCTTTTTTAGGGAAGTTCTAAATTAGTATTATCTTTCAAATGCAATGCAGTTGGAATTTAACTTTTTCATTTTTTTGGCCTGCAAATGAGACATAGTCCCTTTAATGTACATTGACCCACACCAATGCTTAAATTCTTGTCCATGGCATTGCTTGGAATTATCAGTTACATGTATTGTGCTGGGTGTTGATTTTTTATGCCCAAAAGACTCAGGTGGTTTCTAGCTCATGCAGTGTTCTGGTAATTGGTGAGGTGTTTAGGAGAAGTGTTGTTTTGGTTGAGCTAGGAGTTCATGAACCTGCCAAGGTGTGAACATGGGTCGAGCAGTTCAGGACCAGGATAACCAATGTTTTATGAGTTATGTTTCCTATGTAGTAGGATTTTGCTTTCAGGTGGAGAATATCTGTGGAGACTAACTAATCTTCATTAAATCAAATAGAATAAATAATATTAAAAGGACTAGAGTACAAAAATCCTCTACAATAGGCTCAGTTACACTTATAAAACTGCATTTTTTATAACCAAATCATTTACACTGGGATTTTTTTTAAAAAGCTGAGTTTGGCTGCAAACAAAAATCTAGGGTTATTTGGCAAGTTGTACACATGCGCATCATGTCTGCTTGCAAATTTTTGTCCCTGGTGCCATGCGGAAAAAAATCAGAGAGCTTGGCATGGAGTTAGATAAATCACACTCCTTAGCAGGGCCTTCGGGGGATGATTTTTATTTTTTATTTTGGGGGTAGTTCTATAGCAACTTCCTCCGTATGTTTGCAAATTTAGAAGAATTTTTGCTAGGAACAAAATTCAACAACTTCCACATAATCCCAATTTAATGAATATGGTGGGCAAAAAAAGCCAAAGAAGTGGTATATATTGAATACGGTACAGCTGTTTTGTACTTGTTTGCACTTTGCAGTGAATAATAAATCCATCAATTATTGAGGCAGGGCTGTAAGTCGATCATTATTTATTCCCCAAGATCTTACAATACACTGTCTTTGCATAAATTTTGGATCAATCCCTAGAAAAATGGAAAGCTTACATGAATTCAATTTGTTTCTATGATCCCTCAGTTTGAATTACATTTGGATTTATTTCCAAGGATAAAAGGAGCTTATTAAACTCTTTTTCTCAAAGTTTCAAGAGTTTATAAACCATCTTTTCGATTCATGCCTTGCCCAAATAACAGGTTTTGCAATACTCTCTGTCGTGGTTAATGACCCAACATAATGTCTGCTGTGAACGATATGATGGGCTTATTATTAACAACATCCTGAGAAGCTGTTTTGTTCAAACCAGTAAGTAACTCTGAAAAGGCATATGCGTTAATACCTCTCTGGCTCTCAGCAGACGAGTGATATATCGCCACTGAGACTGGGGGAGACTGAGGAGGGAACAGAGCATAATCTTTGCACCTCCATAGATAGAATATACAAGGTTTGATGGCCTGCTTATCAATAATGAGATCAAAACACTGGATTATGTTATCTCCATGGTAGATGATGTTTAAGCCCAAACTTGACCCTCTTCTCTCTTTGTGCATCCGCATCACTTTGCATACCTCTCATCCATATGAGTTCTGTCCAACAGCAAACCAAAGCTACTCATTCAAGAATGGAGGCTAAAAAACATGCACAAATAACAAATCAAAAATAGAACTAATAAATGTTGTAAAAATGCAGCCTGACAACACAACAGCACTTCCATCATGCATTTCTTATAAGACCTAAAAATCAATGCGATGATAATAAACAGTCTGAGGTAGGATGGTCTGAGATGTCAACTTAAAAAGGGAAATACCCTAAATCACGCTCTTCTATTCACTCACACAAAATGAGCGTATATTCATGAAGAACGTCCACAATAACAAGAATTGATGATGGTTTAACCTGAATTCAGCATGGAAATGGTGAATTTATGTATACATAAAGCTCTCCCAATGAGGCGTTTGTTAATCATTTACCCAAATAAAAAAATTGTTTAAAAAAAAATTGGGGGGACTGATTCGCTCAAGAAGGATTTGTCTTCTGACATTTTTTGTTTTGTTTTTACATTACAATTTACCATTTGTAGCTTGCATGCAAGCACTACCATCACTGCCAGGTGAAAGTTTGGCAAAATCATGTTGCAACACAGGGTCATTCTATTAAACTTCTCCTTGTGAACATAATACATGATCTGAAAATGTGACTGAATGGTACATTATCACTGCCTCAAAGAATCTATATAGATATAATTTATCAGCATTGTGTAAACATATTGAACTCCATCAACCTTCCCTGTGTTGCATCGTTTTGTTAAATCGATAGTGCCCCTGACCAAGTGAGAGCACTAAACGTTCAAATATATTAGCCTGCCCCTCAAACAAATTTAGAAGTATTTAAAAATTTCACCAGAAACATGGCTTCACCCACTGTCATGGTTACTAAAATAACAAAAAAGATGCTACTCCACTCTCTGAACTCCTCGTCATACAAAGTTGCCTGAGAAAGTTGCTACGGTGATACACATCATCACGTATAAAAAGTTATTACTATATCTTGCTCTGTCAGTTTTAAATTAGAAAACACATAGCTGAAGAAGTCTCCCAAGTCCAAGTCCATCTTGGCTTTACCAAGCATACATGCTTGATGAGGAGGGCATCCCAATAAATCCCAGTGGTTCCTATGGTAATGTCATCCCAGTGGTTGCTATGGTAATGTCATCCACTGAACACTGCAGATGGAGAGGTGATGAGATGTAACTTGTTCATGTAACTCAAAGCACTCTTAGTTCTGTGTCCTTGACAGCGAGCGAGCTTCATTCCATGTCAGTATATCCAGAAGGGATCCCATCTTGTTGGGATCAGTCGGGTTGCTATGGTGACAGATAATGCTGCTCAGTGATCATCGACAGATTCCACCTTGCCTACCACTTTGCCTTCATAGAGGGGCAACACTGCATCGTCATCTACTATGATCTGATGAACCACTCCAGACTCAAACTCAGTGCTGGGCATCTTGAATGTATACCTGCATAACAAAGAAAGAAAAGGCAAGAATGGCAACATTAAAGATTAAGAAAAGTGTTATCATTTGGATAATTATTTCAACATGCATCATTTCTTTCATAACGTGAAAACAAAAGAATTTTGAATGTATCCCTGACAATGCACATGAATGAGATATGAATGGACCATGACTTGAAAGTTGCTTCAACAAGATGCTAATCATATACAGTGAAACCTGTACACACATACTGCTAGAGGGAGACAAGAAAAGTCGTCTGTATAGACAGGTGGTCTTTTTATACAGGTTCCTTAAGTACATGTTTCAATGAGAAATGAAGTTCAAGGAAAACAAAAAATGTCGTCTTTATAAACAAGTGGTCTTTCTATAAAGGTGGTCGCTAAGGCAGGTTTGACTGTAGCTATGATACGTGTTCTGTCATCGCTTCGTACCAAACGGAGGTAAGAATAATCATATCAGAGAGGACCACACAACTACAGGAGGTGTGGAAGTCTTAAAGCAACAGTAGGCAACATCTTTGTGACCAATGTCAAGAGTACATCCATCTTAATGACATAGGCTGTCTGTATGAGCCCCCCTCCCCTCTGTGAAACCAATTTGGGCTAAGGCTAAGGCTAAGGGTGTGCATGTTTGGCTACCAGCCAAGGGGCTTACCCAGCCCAGTCAGGTAACAAGGATCAAAAGGGGAAAGAGAGAAAAATTGAGAAAGAGATAGAAAGAGGGGGGGGGGGGAGAGAAAGAGAAAGTGAAGTGGAGGAAAATAAGGATAGAAAAAAATGAACAAAAGAAATTAAGGAAGAAATGAAAGATGATGTCAGTTCAGATGATTAAAAAAGGGAAGGTTATTAAAAAGGATAGTGGGAGAAGGTATAGATAATGATCTGTGCTGTCATATCAACAAGAAGTGTTTCTGTTGCTATGGCATCATGGGTCTCAGGGTAAAAATCATGATGAGTGTGGGGACAAACGATGCATCATCTCACTTCTTGAGCGATTACACTTTTAAACAGTCAGATGAAGTATACATGATGTGAGCAGGTTGTTAAAGCAGGTGGCCGCCCTGGCTAAGTGGAAAAAAGAGGAAACGCAAAAGAAAAAGCGAGGAAGAGACGTTCATGGCAGGTTTTGGAGAAGAAGAAGAAAGAAAGATAGAAAGAGCATTGAGGCAGGTGATCTGGCATAGGAGGAAGTCTACAGATATAAAAGATTAGTCTCTCAGTGACACGAGAGGACAAAGAGAAACTTGTCTGAGGAATTCAAGGATTTGGATATTGTGAAGCAAAGAAAAAAATGGATTTGTAAAGAGATAGAATTCTGAGTCGACAGTCAAGGGGGGGGGGGTCGATGAGAGAGAAAGTGAGAGACAAGTAGATGGCCTTGGGGCAAGGTTCAATATCAAAAGCATCCCGCCAGCCAGTAAAGCAAGGTGGCCTGCAGGTGCATCCAGAGAAGAGAGACTGTATCCCATCCCAGCATGGAAGACCTCTCTCTCCATTGGCTAGGAGAGCACAATTCAAGAGATGACGATGACAAGGAAGAGGCAGGGCAGAGATGAAATGAAATGAATTTTTTTTTTTTAAAGTAAGAACAACATACAGTCAATCTTGTGTCACCAAATGATGGCGATCATTCCCGGAAGTACAGATGAGCTTCTCATCTTTTTAGAACATGAAATACCATTTATCAAACTTATTCGGTGCATGCAGTGGAGAATTACTCCTGATCTTCCATCCTATTTATTAGCCAATTGACAAGATGGTGAAGAGAAAGAGAACAATGAATATACCACAAGATGGCCGTACTATTTGGCCAAGGCAACTAGGCATCATGGGACTGACCCCCTACTGGGTTGAGCACTGGTGGTGGAAAGATGAATGGGCATAGGATGGGAGAAGGGAGAATATGAGGGATGAACGAAGATACAGAGACAAGCATGAAGGATTTTGGTCTCCAAGGCACTATCAGGGGTAAAGATTTCAAAGGAGCAGCATTTTGTGAGGGGGTGAAATAAATAATTGGACAATGAATTTGGCGGAGACAAGGGAGGATCAAACTCCAAGGGTAAGGAAAAAAAAAAGTAATTCTGCCAATCAAATGTAGTAATCAGACAACTTAAAGCTAATCAGCATAAGAATGGAAAGCTGATTACAACTGGAACATAGGCCATAGTATTTTCAATTACAAAAGCATGAAAGTGGAGAAAATTAACTATTTTTTTCCCCTTAAAAGAAAAGGGGGATTTGGTAACAGATATAAATCTGAGCGACAATCTGCACTGTCACTGGCCAATTAGGGCGAGGGTGTTGGGTTTCAAGAGGTGAAAATTAGCTACAATGTCCTGCAGCAGCTAGGAGGAGACTTTGGACGGACGGAGGGTCGATGCGGCATGGCATCAAAGGGACCCCTAGCGAGCGGAGTGAATTAGGAGGGCATCACAATCACATTTACCATCGAGAGCCGCTTGTCACAATAACTTAGAGTTCAATCCCAAAGACGGCTTGGCCAGATGAGCAACCCATTTTCCACAACTTCCTCAAAATATTCAAATGAAGAATCACTTCTCTTTTCTAATATCAAAACATCCCATGAAATTCACTCATTTCACTCGCTCTTTTTCTGTTTTCCTATTGGTAATTTGCAAACTTAAATTATGCCTGGAAGAAGCCACTGATAGCAGATAATCAGACACTTGTGCCTCTTTCCGATGACAAACGTGAATTAAACTGTAGCCTATTCCTGTGTGAAAGCACCAAGGTCGTGACCTCAAGAAGAAAGTCTAAATGCTCTGCAAGCCACAGTCGGTCGAACGAAAAATGCATTACCACGCGGTCAATTACAGAGAAAATGGCAGGTGAAAAATCCCACCACAAACCCAGACAATTCAAACCAGTCACTCTCTCTCTTCTTCCTCCCCTTATTCTATATTCCTGTCTGTTTCTACTGCCGGCCTCTCCATCTCTAATTGAAGTGCCCAGCATAAAGATATGCAATCAATATTTTGTTTCAAAGATGACACATCAACCTTCAGTATCTCCTTATCAATATAATAGCACCATGCATCTCAGACTCTCCAGTGCTTATACAAATATGATATGTCAGGAAATGATCCCTCTTGAAGTTCAGGGAACCATAGACGAAAAACAAATTAAATGACCATCAACAAGAAAATAAAGGATATAAATCTGATTTTCAGACAAAAAATGAATTAAATTGATTGGCTGTGTGATTAAAGGTAATACAGAGTTTTGGTATGGGGTCTTCAATTTAGTTCAAATGAACATATTGGACAGTATGTGCGATTTTACAATATTCAATGATCGTTGTTGCGGTTGAAATCGAGTCTAAAGTGATGAAATTGTAAATAATAAACTCTTTATGTTGTATAGCTCCCTCTCAAGACTGATATCCCTTTAGCTTTAAAACAATGTTTCTTGACTACAATCGACAGATTTGCTCTTCCCGTTTGGAAATTATATATCAAGACTGCATATTCTGAGAGTTACATGGTCGCAGCTACCATGAGATGGCCTTAGACGCTATTTGAAATATTTGATTTTTTCCTTATTTTACAAGTGAATGTTGAAAAACAGCCTTAGTCTTTGCACATAATGTTATAAAACAGAGTCGTGTTATAAAACATTCTTTCTAGTTACATCTCGGATACAACATCGGAGTGTGAGCAAGACAAGACTTAGGGCTTCAGCAGTGTGAAGTTTCACCAAGTTGTTCTGCCCTAGTTGAAAACCCCTTGTACAATGCGATTGATTGCATATGAGTGAAGGTCAATTTCATAGCAGGAATGCAGGCAGGGTTGGACCATGGTCCAAGCGTTCACGTGAGAGCGGATGCAGTTTCTCTGACCAGTCCTAAGTCTGACTGACTGGCTGGTGGTGAAAGAGCAGTGACCCCATCTAGTAACTGCAATTGAATTGCATCCTTTACATATTACAGGAGGGTGCAATTAAATCCTTTAAAATTAATTAAAGCTTTTGAATATGTAATGGCTATCAAGGGTGAAGGCCCGTGAGAAGAGCACAATTAGTGTCTAAAGGGTGAAGATGTTATGCTTCAAAGAAATTTTAATTAAAAACTGTTCTTTATTTTATGAGATAAAAGCATTTTTTCTGTTTAGGGGGTCAAAGAAACAGGTTTTGTTATGGTTTCATATAGTCTCACTTCCTCAGAGAAATCAAATTCAGAATATAAAGCAAATCAATGGAAGCCTTTAACACATTTCACATTTCCTGAAGATTATGCTTGAGGGCTGATATGAACGGACGGACATGCACTGCAGTGTGATGGCACACCTGAAGGCATCAAGGCAGAAAGAGCGAGAGAAATGCAGACACCCCTATTCCCTTGGTGCAGAGTTCCATGAGTAATGACTAATCTTCCTTAAATTCTATATTTCACAAGACAATGCCTACATAAACGGTCCAAATAGGAGAAGACTGATAATATGATACAATCTCCATCGCAGCAATGTGAAGAGGGTATACACTGTCAAGATTTTCTACAACAGGAAATGTTTTTCTTATCTCAATAGCAAGTCAAGTGGGAAAAGAGGTGCACAAATCATAACCAATAGTGGCACCTGGATACAAGGCAGAACTTGTGTGATAAATGGACAAAGTATTCATCAAAGAGTCATTACCTCGTGCCCCATTCCTTCTCATGAAATGGGGAATAAATTATAAGAAAAAGTTAAGTTCAGTGAATTGTCAGAGTAAAATGATAGTCTATTGACTAAAGCAACAGAGCTAATGAACAAATGTTCAGTGTCAGCACACAAACCAGAGAATAACTGTGATAAAATGGAAGAAATGGCCTTCAATGTCTTAGTGACAACAGTTACCACTGAAAGAAGATGAAGAATAGATGAAAGATAGATCAGAATAGATGAAAATAGGTGAAGAATTACTTCAAAGTGGTGGCCATAGAGGCCGGAGTTAATGAGGCAAGACTAAAGAATGGGCGCGAATCGGCCCACCTCAGCCTCGGCTCCGAGCGAAGGTACCCATCACAACGTGGCACTTCAGCCAGGTCAGAGAGCCGTAAGACGTAATCAGGAGTCTGAGCGTCTGACAAGATGAAAGTGTAAAGCATGGTACATTAGATGTGACAATCACACCCATCATCACCAGAATGACAGGCAATCCACTAATTCATGACACCCTGCAAGCATCCCCAAACGAGCCCTCCGGCCGGTGCTAGCTACTGGACACATTCGGGAGAGCAAAGAGATAGCATTGGCGAGCATGCTGGGTGGGAGAAGGGAATTGTGGCAATTGCCTTCAGTGAAGCGTATGCAACTGCAAATCCATTATGTACGCCACTTCATACCCTCAGCAGCCTCTGGCACCAACAACTAAAAGGCAACTGTTTTGCTCAATGAACCGATCCACAGAGACGGTGCAATTTCCAATAGAGGCGATGGAGGTTACCAGCTCACTGTGGGATGGAGCCTTGCTTGAAGAATGCATTTCATTTGCCATCTCGTTGAATCTTCCATCAGAAGAGAAAGTGTTTCCTTAAGACAAGGAGGCAAGATACAGCCAGCGTGCTCTGCCTGCCAATCATGACAACCGGAGCATTCATAATGCATAATCCACTAATTCACACCACTTCAATTGGCAATTACCAAGTGGACACGACGACATTCTAATGGCTACTTCAGAAGTGCTACATGCAGGAGAGAGGAGGCACAAGAGAAGAGATGCAACAATGACGCATCTTGTCCATCTCATAACAGCGTGCTTCAGTAGACCACTTCTGTTTTTCCAATGCAACAGTAACAAAGACATGCCATACATTGTTTTATAAATTACTACAGGTATCGATAATCTGGAAAATACTGCTCACGTTTGAGAAATAATGACTAATATTTCCAAAGTTTCAAGAGAGCATGAATGATTTCATTATAAAGCAATGTGGCACTAGGAAACAGGATGTGCTAAATAACACTTAATTTCAACAGAATGAGAAATATGAAGAACAGAACAGAAGAAAAATTGTTATACAAAGACAAACAACAACAACAAAACATCAGTACACTTCCTTTTTTGGTGTTCAGCAGGTCCAATCATGTGCGGTAGACCTAGTTTTTTTAAAGGTAAGCTGGCTGGGCCTTGGGGCTAACCTCAAAACAGCACCTGAAAAGTACTTTCATATAGCAGATCAGGAGGCCTCTCTGTGTTGGGACTGAATGTATGGGGTATGTGGGCAATGGATGCAGCGGAATTAACAAGAGAAATTTGGATTCAATTCATGTTTCAGTGCTTAACAATGAAGTTAGTGAAGATAATAAAATATACCTATCAGATTCCACTAACATTCCTTGACAAATTTAGACAGTGATAAGGCGTACAAAAGTGAGAGACATTTTTCTAAAGACAACCAAAATTAACGTTTGGTTATAAGCCATGGTCAGAGGCCTGATTCTATCTCTCGCGGCAGGCATATCATGAATAATGCAGGAATATCAATCAGAAATACTGGTCAGTGACCCATCTATGATGGGAGAACTATTCCATTTATCATTTACCCCCCCCCCCCTGCAAGCTTTCTCAACATGTATTGCTACAAAAGTGAAATTTGTATCAAATATCTGAAAGGACAATAACTGTAACTGTGCTATTGATGCTTAATTCTGAAAGAAAATGCTCAGAAAGTATACATTATGCTAAGAATATCTTGCTTATAAACCTCTCTCATACACTTTGATGGGGAATCTTGTAGATTAATGGGTAAGAATACAATAATTTCTGAGCATAACTATAGTTATTTCTTGGAGGTGGGTTTCCATTAATAAAGGAGGTGTAAGAAGAATACTGGGAGAAGGAAAGGGGGAAAAAGGGGGATTATAATGGAAAGATTAAATATAGTGTGGAAAGATTAAGATGACTTGCAAGATAGATCAAGTTGTTCATTTCTTGACAAAAATGACTAACCACATTCATGAGTGGAAAGATGATAAAACTGTGGCTAAGTATCAATGACAAAAAAACCCAAGTACGATTGGAAGGAAATGCCACCACAAAATGTTTATTCTTCAGATTTTGGGGGACAGAAATTCTCATTAAGAATCAATCGAGAAAAATATGAGTCAGAAAGAGACATGTCCATCGGCTTATGGTAATTCTGTCTTCCCATCTCTCTCTCTTTTTCTTCATTTAGTGTGAGAATGTCTTGAACACACAGCTGATCATGCTGCGTACAATCCATACCCACACACACACACATGGGCTGGCTGCGCACAATCAAATGTCAGATTACATGGGCTGGGCTGCAGCAGTAAGCAAACAGGGTGAACGACCTCACAGTCATTGCCCTACGTGATGCCATCACAGCCATCATGCATGCCCACAGGGCCAGGCAGGCAATACAACGGGAGAGAGAGAGAGAGAGACAGAGAGAGACAGAGAGAGACAGAGAGACAGAGAGACAGAGAGACAGAGAGAGAAAGAGAAAGAGAGAGAAAGGGGATCAGCACAAGCTGGGAAACAGAGGACAGGTACATGCAAAGAAGAATGAACAAAATAAAAGAACAAAAGAAGTAAAAGTCCAAAACACTAACAAAGTTACAGGAAATGAAGGACAATACATATATACAAGAATCAAATTAAAGGGTGGAATAAAATTTAAATTGATCAAAGGCATTTTTCTAAAATGTAGTAAATGTAGAAGTACAAAAGATACGACTTGTACAGACCAGATATGAAATACAAAACTGCATAATCAGAATGGGAGAGTACAAAAAAGAAGGAAAAAAAAGGGGATTTAAAAAAAATTATATATATAAAAATTGAACAAAAAAGTAGGAAGGCAAAATGATGTAAAAAGAGAACATTTTGTTTAGAACAAAGAATCTATAGATAGGAAAACTGTATTTATTACAAAGAACGCTGTCTTTTTAAACAAAGAAAATCATAAGAACCATCCACTATGATGTGAATTTTTTTTTAATGCAGTGTAATGCAAAATATCACAGATTATCTCAATAATTTCCACTTTAACCCATAAGCTCTGTGATGGAAAGAAAGAGTCATTTCAAGCAACCTTCATGATTCCATGATTGTATTCATAAGGTACCTGTGATATACATGCAGCACTAACAATAATTCTGACATAACATAACATTGAAAAAAATATTACTCCAATGATTATGGATCAATTTATTAAGTTTTGACAAAATTCAGCCTTGAATGTGATAAATACAGTTGAAAATTAAGAAATTTCCAAACCACACATAGCATCACGTTCAATTCATTCATGTATCGATCAAACTAACAGAATTGATTTCACATGCCCCCAACAGATATCATAGATTCATCATCTGAAACAAATACCAGAATGAGAAGGAAAATAAAATCTCTTGAGAAAAGTGCACTCGGGCAATGACTTATATGATCACTATCTCTCTGTCATCCTTTAGGTTGTCATGTGAATAGGAGACTCTCATCCATAATTCATTGCCTCAATTGTCATATCTTATCTTCTGCACAGATCAATCAGTCATCAACAACTTAAAAGCCCGGAAAGTATAAAAGAGCAGGGCAAAAATATCTGTGTCATTTCAGTTTGACTCGTCGTAAGTTGATGTGAGAGTTGGGGAGGGAGAGAGACAGAAAGATTTGGAAAAGGGGAAGAATATGGGAGAGTAGGGCGTGATGTTGGGGAGGAGGGCAATCTATTTCAGCAGCAAGGAAATACAATTATGTGGCTAACTCCCTGCACATTTATTGGCTTCATATAAAATATAAAACACCCCATTCCCCCTCTAATAACTGAAATATAAATTGCATTGTTTTTAGAATAGACTGTTATGTGCGATATGAAGTAGATCGGAGAAGGAAATGAATAAGGGATGGATACAATGACTCATTAACACACCTGAAAAACAAATCTGATATTCTAACATTCTAACATACTTCTTAACCAAAACAACAAAAAATGCTTACAAAATCAGTATTAGTTGTGTGTTCTGCAAAAAGGACGTGGCAGGGGAATTCCAAAGCATGTCATAATACTATCTCCTATATTAAGCCAGAAGGATGTTAAAGCTTAAACTGTTACTTCATACTTCATACAGATAATATCATCTTGGCTTGTCACAAAGTAAACACCCTCCCAGCTCCTAACAGACAATAATGTCTGTAAGAGGTATGAGCGTGTTCGCTTTTTAGAGGTACCGCCTTCTTAGCTCTTAGCGATGGTCCTATGGACTTTCATGACTAACGTCCTTCTGCCTGGTATAACAAAGAGTTTTGTTTCTTACCTGTACGTGCCCTTCTTTGAGATGAGAGCCTTGAATTGTCTTAAGGTGATTTCTGATCCTGGGAGACTGGTTCTGTATGGGATGGGATCGTTGCAGAGATAGTATGCTATGGTTATGTTCGGCTGGACCTTCTTCTCCATCGTACCACTTGAAGACGTCGGTCGGCCTTTGCTAGAGGAAGACGAGGAGGTGGGCCGCTTCCTGAAAGGTGGGGAAAAACACAAGAAGTGGAAAGTATAAAAACTTGTACAAAGCCTGAAAGGTATATTCTAAGGCACTGGTATGATTACATTATTTCAGAGAGCTCTTTCATTCCTGCAATAGTCTGTTTGAGTGGATGTATTAGCAACAAACTTTCTAAATAATATTACCCTTTCCATTTACCATTTCCTTGAGAAAATTTGATGTGTTCACTTCGAAAGTCATTGGTGTGCTATTCCAAATTCATTTTTTAGATGACCATAAAGATAATATTGGACATTTCATTCTGTCAGATTTGATGCCCACGCTAATAAGTTAGAAAGATCTGCAGGGGAACGCAAGCATAAAAAAGGGAGTTGTTTTGTGAGGGCTTCTTTGTCCTTTAGATTAACTCAACGGCAAGGCAATAGCAGTCTTGTCATGATGGCAAGGATGACTGGGTTCCACTACAAAATGCTCAGGTTACAACTGCTCCATGGTCTATTTCCTACACTAACCGATTCCTAACTTAACCCTGGACCCTATTTTATACAACTAGTTATACAAAACTAGTGCCAAATTCCTGTAACAGATTTGCTTGCAGCCTTTCAGTGGCTTTTATCAGTACACCAATGTTAACTTACCCTCCTGTGGTGGAAGGTCTAGAGAGACCCGGATAGATCTGGTTGTCAGAGATACTGGTGGGCATCATCGATGATCGGGTCTGACCTGACAATGATAATGAGGTCATGCTAGGTATCATGGCCGGCCTCTTCTCCTTCCGAGGGTCGCTGGTTTTGCTGTGGAGATGATTGGATGAGTGATTAAAATGTAATGAGGGCAAGATATAATTAAATACCACGTTGAAGTGATATTATTTTCAATTTTCAATAGAGACAAATATTGTGTCATACACAATGGGGGCAACTTCACAAGACATTTAGGATCACATATGCGAACTGCAGGGTTTCAAAATTGCAGGGTGAAGATGAATGAAATTATGGTTCTTTAGCTTTTGTTTTGAGACTAGTCAGTTTGGATCTGCAAACGTGAAATCCAATTTACTCTCTGGATGAAATCTTCACTAAAAAAAGAAAAACCTGTTTGCAAATGCAAGCATAACAAGCAATACTCTAAATACTTCCAAATCTGCATATGACACCCTCCTCATGCAACAACCCCAACATACCCCCCCCCCTATAACACAATGGATACTTCCCATCTACACTTCATTCTATACATGACCAGGTCATTCCACTCTCCTGTCGGGGGTGTTCAACTCACCTACTCATCCTCTGCTGTCTATTTGACATGTCTATCCTTCTCCTAGCCTCCTCTAAGACAGTGAGTGGTTCGGGTGGTTGCATGAGGGGCATGTTGGGATCCTGGATGAACGGCTGCTTGGGCAAGTGGGGTGAGCTCCTCTTAGGCAGGTTAGTGGTGGGCGTGTGCGTCCTTTCTCTCTCCATCGATTGGGGCCGCGATGTGTTGTACTGAACTGGCTTCTTACCCATCCTGGAAATGCAACAATTGGACATGGCGTTTAAGGAGATGTATGAATATGTACACATGTTTAGATTTTAGAAAATTGCACTGGCTATTAGGGAATATAAGCTACATAGCAATATTGCCATCTCACAGAAACAAAATCTGTCACCTCTGTCAACTTTCATAGGGTTCAGTTTGGGATTTCAAGGTCAATATTTCATGTATTGACCAAACTACGCCATTTAACATTATCATTATTATTCCAAACAGAATATAAGTTGAACAATTTTTCAAGTTTATAAATTCCACTCATTTCATAATCTGATGTGCAAACTTGAAAACTTTCTGAAAATCTGAAGAGTCCCATAAGGTCTCCAAAATCCACAGCAAGCCGCCGGGGTAGGGAAAAATTGTACGGGGCCCTGTATTTGTGACCTAGGTATAAGTCCACTGAAACATGGGTACAATTTGACACTATTCACATGATAAAAATCTGCTCTAGGACTTACTGCTGGGGCATAGTGATTGTAGTGTTATGGTCAGGATGCACACGATGCCTTTGTCTATGATGCATAGATTGATTCTGTACACGTGGGTCAGGGATATCATTCTCCTCTCTGATCCAGTCTGCACAACGCTTCATTGAACTGTAAGGAGATAAACCGTGACAGATTTCTTAAAACTTGTTTGAAAAGATCACCGTCATTTGGAGACATCATGTACCAATACCATCTAAACAATATTCATACAAGGAAAAGACATATCGCATGATTGTGAGAGGGAAATGTTCACCTATTTCTTTTCTTAAGCTACATCTTAAAACCAATTAAGATCTAACCCACACCATATCCTTTCTGAACTTACTTTTCTGAATCCGACGGTAATGATGGTGCTCCTTCGAAAATTCCGCTATCTGTTGTCTTCGATATCGACGAAATGTCTGACTTTTTACTGCTGCGCTTTTTGTGCCTAACAGTATCCTCAATATACGCCATGTAAGGTGTTTCTGCCATACCGACAGTGGCCATATTGGGTGGCACAATGAGTTCTTTTGATTTGGACATGTGATGTCTGCTGTGGTGCGGGTGGGATGAGATCTGCTTCGGATGCAACGAGACCTGAGGCACGTTGGCCATAGAGGGCGGCAGCTTGCTTCTGTGGTGGTCAGGAGGTGACCGGGAACGAGGGGAGAAACCTCGCGGCGTGTGCCTGTTGGAGTCTTTGAAAACTCTGGACATGTGGTCCTCCAGAATACTGTTGGGGTCATCCTCCACAAAATCGTGGACGGGGAATATTTGGGTGCCTGGCGGCCTCATGGTTGTTGAAGACGGCGGTTCGCTCTCGTGCTCCTCCTCCTGTAGGAATAAGAGATTTGGTGACAACTAGATTAAGGATACATCATAAATGCATAGCGGTGAATAATGTTGATTTTCAAATGCTCCTAGCCCAAATATCACTACCAAACTTGTAGAGATAGCCACTAGTTGTGTGGATAAAAGTATGAGCCATATACTGAAGTTGTGCCTGTCTGAGTACTTTAACCCAACTTACAAAATATCAAATTTCTGAAGACATATCATCCTAAGTTTGTTTGTCCTCCAACAAATACTATATAAGCTGATGAATAAAATATATAGAATAAGTTTGCAACTTTGCACATTCCTAATAGAAAGCCCATTTTTACATGCTGTTAATTTGTGACCCCATAACGATTCGGAAATTCACTAACAGACAATCCTTACACAGATAACGGCTTGAACAGTAGAAATATTGTGTACCTCAACTTTGCGTAATTTGGCAGCTAATCTTTCCTTGGCTTCTCTCTCTTGCAGAACCTTCTCCAGCTTCTCAGTCAGCTTCTTGGCAAACTCTACAGGGTCGGTTGGAGGTAGCTCTCTAGGATGTGCTCGCTGAATTAGGAGAGAGGGAGAAGAAAGGAAAGAGGAAGTGAGATAGTGGAGTTAAGAGGGAGCCCTTCAACATGAAAAACAATGAGCATATCTAATACGAAATGAAGGGCCTCATCTTGTTCCAACATGGTGAATAATTCAACTAGCCAAATGGAGAAATACTATCTACTTTGTATGTTTGGAGCTATAAGGGTGTTAACACTGTGATAAAAAATAGAGTTACCATCCTTCAGGCTCCAAACAGACAAAAAGATAGAGGAGTTATGGTTTCTCTGTAAACTTATTAAATACTTCTTTACCACACACATTCTTAAAATGAACAAATTGTGCTTATATTTGTGAACAGCTAAAGCCTCGGTCACAAATGCTATTACCAACTGCTACAAACGCCATACGAACGATTTTCAGATAATGGAAATTTGGGAAGACAATGGAAAAACAGGGAGATTCGAACAAAATTATCGTTCGTACGAACCTTTGTGACCGTAGCATAAATGGAAACAATCAGGCATCAGAAGCAGCCAGGTATGAACACATTTTGGAAAGTGCACAAGCATCAAAGGTTTTATTTTTGTAGAATATCCTACCAGGCACATAAAATACATTAGCATTACATTCATGTTTCAGTATCATGTCAAACCGCTTTTGTCAAGGTCTCTTCAGTTTTCTCTTCAGGTCCTCTGTCTTTTTTTTCTCCACAGAAATGCATGAGTAGCAATTACGAATTTCACACCCCAGCTGAGTTGTGAAGGTCAAAGGTCATGGAAGTGAAGCCTTAGCTGGAGAAGAGGTCAGGTTGTTTAGTCTGAACCGCTCAGACTCACTTCTCATTTGGGAAGGTCAATGGAATGATAGACTCCCTCAATAAGTGACCAATGAGGACTATGGAGGGAACCACACCATGATAGCTATGCAATATTCACTTTAAGCTTGTGTAAAGTTTCAGGAAAACTATTTGTTGTAGGTATAATAGGCTGATGGGTCTGGGATGTAAATCTAGTCGCACTAAGGGGCATATGAAGCACATATGGGGTGCTGGTAGGTAGTCAAGGTCTGCCCTAGCTGCACCACCACGATGGAATTCAACAAGTTCAATTGCAAAACCAGCTGACTGAGTGCGAAATGATACAGGATCCTCCTAGATCTCTTGCGAATGGGGGCACAACAAAAGGGTGGGGCATCTGAAATGGTAGACCAATTTAGTCTTCTAGAGACCAAGTGCGTAACAAATATATGTCCTTATACAGGAAAGGCTTCTGTGGGGTTGTTAAAGGAGGAGATTGTGAAATTCATGTTTAAAAAGTTCCTAAAGGATAAAAGATTTATTCATTGTAATATTCCCTATTTTGTAGTGTCTTAGACTCTTAGGCCCGAATTCACAAAGCAAGGTTTGAGCTCAAACCTCCTTTTGTTTCGCCAAACCTCCATTTGTTCTTTACAAACCTGGTTTGTAAAAACCGCATAAAACGCGTCATATGACGTACGAAAACCAAGGTTTGTCGACAAACCTCCTTTGTGAATTCGGGCCTTAGAGACTTACTTGGGTTACCACATTTGGTATTCAGATTAAAAACAAACAAAATAGATGTCTGTTGGGTGGTCACAGGTCACTTTTCTAAAGAAAATGCATTCTTTCAAGAGGTCAAAAGAAAATATTGCATTATAGTCCTTTCTTTCCCAGATGGCATTGCCAGGACTAAGGGTGGATATTTCTATATGATGAACTCATTTTGGCTTGTCTTGACCTCAACATGTATGTTCACACCTGTAACATGTAGAGTGACCTACTCCATGATGCAAGACTTGACCCTTCCTTCCTTTCAACTGAAATGCCGGTGTACCATAGTCACAAAATCTGTGTTGCTTTCTTTCCCCTGTATCCTTTCTTTTAACTTTATTCCCTCGTTTAAAATCCTTGTTTTTTACCCCATTCATTCCTATCTCTTTTTAACATAATTCCCTTTCTTTTTCGTTTTATTTTCCTGTATTCCAAATTATATCCCCCTCAATTTTTTCATCATTAATAATGGTCTGTTTCCACTCAAACTTTCAAATTATCTTTAATTGTACATCTAGCATTGAAGTCACTACCTCAGTAGCACCATTTGCTCTCATCTGGGAGTGGGAGTGTCGTGGTTGAGTGGTTTAAGGCGCTTGGCTTGGAGATGCGAAGGTCGAGGGTTCGAATCCTGACACGGCACTAATATCCTTTAGTAAGACATTAACCTGCAATTGCTTCTCTCCACCCAGGTGTTAAATGGGTACCCGGTAGGATGCGACCGTCATTGTTGGTCAAACAGTTTTTGAGCGTCATGAAACGCCTGGCTGGAATGCTCCCCAGGGAGTGGAGATTGTGCACACATTGTGTGCGGCCAAGCACTAAATCCAATGACCGGGGCAATTTTTAAAGCGCTAAGAGACTTAGAGCGTTATATAAAAACAATTTTACCAAGTCCCTTTAACCATTAATCCAGCTCAGAGAATGAACATAATGAAACACATCAAGTGCAGACTGAACTCATATTCCCAGACATGCCAGGGTAGAGCACTAATGCAAAATTCAGTTTTCTGGAGTTTCTCCAGCAGCTTTTCTGCTTCATATTTATACTGGTCGCTCAAAGCTTGTCTGCAAGCGATATAGATTATGGTTTATTTTTCACAGAAACGCTATGTTTTCTCCCTCATAATCTATCCTTTCTGAATGACAGCTGCTGGACAAAAATATCTGACGTCTGACTGAAATGCGGTTTCTGATAGTTTTAAAGATGACTTTGGTCTGGTAAAGACGTAATTTCATGACGTCAATTGAGAGATGGTAAATAGTCTCCACGTAACTCATTGCTGAAGCAAGCATAGACTTTTAAGGGTCCCATTGTTCCTTTTCTATTTTGAAAGGGGGACAGATTTTAAAAGGGGGATTATAATAAACCTCCCCACATGGAAATACCACTATAATCAGATGGTAATCATTTCATAACTCATGTTAAAGAGGCAGAAATATAAACAAGAGTGGGCAACCGGCAAAAGGATAGAAGGATAAATATAAAATACAGAGGGACTTCAAAGGAAGAGAGAATTACTATGATTAAAAATAGACAGAAAAAGACTTCCAGAAGTTCATCTACATTTGCCACTCTCCACCCAGGTGTAAATGGGTACCTGATATGCTTGAGCACTAGTTACTTTGGCAGCTCGGCTACGACCAGGGTAATATGTGTAAAGCACCATGAGCATCAGAGCCTGATAGATACGGGCACTATATAAATAACCATATTATTATTAACTTAAATATCCATGCACTCTGGAATTAGGTATTCAACTGCCCATGACAGAGGTAACTGGTCAAATATTCAAGAGCTACTGGCCTAGCTTTACAACAGCACAGCTAGCTATGACTAGGGCTAGGGCTACTTACTGGGCAGGGAAGATGTGTCATGACTTTGCCATTCTGTCTGATGTTATACTTCATGTTCCTTTTCTGTCTTCTCTTCTGCTGCTGTCTCGACCTCACCGGAAAACCATCCCTGCGAGAAAGAAAGAACAAAATAGGCATTAAATACTTGAGATCGAACCGTAACATGAGTTTCTTTCGAATGAATGTTTGCTGGGGATGCACGCATGAAGACATGTATGATATTGCAGGTCCTGACAGAGATTTAGCATCCAAGGGCAGAAAGAGCATGCTCTATCCCATAAGACTTGGTTCAGCCTTACATATTGCATTGTCATATTTAAAGCCTCATGACCCAGTTCATTTCACTTGACAGTCTGCCATAACAGACTACCAAACAACTTTTTTTCTTTCCTCTAGCGCTCTTTAAAAAAGCAGTCTTTCTTTTCAAGTGTCAGAAATGCCCATCTCTGAGTCTGAGATAAGAAAGGGATGAACCTTGCGAGGGCTTGACTCCAAACATAACTTCTTGCAGGCCTACATAGTGTCATGGGAATGGCCGCAGCAGCACATCAAAAACAAAAGGCCTGCCCTCAAATTGGCTAAGATTGAAACACTCTGTCAGTATCTGTTAGGGGAGGGATATGTATTTGTATCCAAATCCCGTGTAATTGATCCCCTTGTAAACCTGGTTTTGGTTTGCATCTTTGCTGTTCACATTTTCCCTTTTTCTGGCTTTAAAAATAAATGACAATTTTCTGAGTGTAAATTTTTTTTGACTTGCACTGTAGACTTACTCAAACTTAGTACGCAATGCCTGACAAAATGGGTTCAAAATAACTACCAAAAAATTGAGAGTATCAAAAAGACAATGAGATTAGATAACCCTGTTGTAATACAACTTATTTGGTTGAGCAATACTTACAATGTACGTGTTTGCAATGGTAACAAAAAATGCTTTCGTCATTACTCCCAATATTTGGATACAAACTTTCAAGCCACATTACGCATGCGCACACACAAGTGAACAAGCCATGCGAGACGGAATGTGATCAAAAGAACGATGGAAAATATCACCGAGAAAATCCACAAGACCCATTCAAAGAGCATTTTTTGAGCTTTTTGAGCTGCTAGTCCAATGAGGTCAAGCGCAGTTTATTAGACGTGCATGCAAAGGATTAGGGTAGCAGTTTGTCAATAATATCCCAAGACTCTCTTAATTAACACTGCGAAATCATTGAACATTTTGGAATTATGTATTTTTGCATGTACATGTACAGGTAAAGTATTACTGTACAATACTTTTGTCTGCTTAGTGCTCATTATGTAGTACTTTTGTTATGTTTTACGTACTAATGCTGTTATGAAGTTTTACATACTCGAACACAATAATCACAATTTGTTGATGGTCGAATAGTGTAAAAAGTAGCATTCAAGCGCTAATCAGCGCCCTGTAGGCTATTGAAATATTAGTCCCAGGTCTAGAAAATAGTGATTGAGAAGTAGAGATGGGGTCTGGTCTGGACTGGTAGAGAGAGGGTACAGATGAAGTAATAAGATTTGTGCCTTATTTTAGAATCCTGGGCTTAGCACCAAGCAGCCAGCATGGGCCTGCCCTGTGGGGATGAAGGAACTACTTCTCTTCTCTCTGACTGCAGTAAAATGAAAATGAGATTTCATCCATCCGTCATCGCTGGAGCAATGATGGTACTGCTTGCAGCAAGTCTACTGCTACAGCTGTGGTAGCTAGCCTATGGGATGCAGACCCTTACTCTTATGATCATGCAGGAGGGGTGGAAGCGTATTTATTGAATCGGCAGTAGTTGTTGGGGATGAAAGGGAATCCAACCCAAATAGACAACTACTCTAAAAGAAAGCAGAAAAATCAGAGAAGCAAACTGATCAAAGTTTCAATTAAATCTGACTAAATTAATAAAGTTATGAATTTTTGGAAGTTGTAATCCCTATATGTATGGGCACTTCAAATTGGCTGAGGTAATGTCGATGTGATGTAGTGCCGGTGTGATGTAGTGCCGGATACTTTCCCATCTGTTCCATCACATAAAATGACTAAATTTTAAATTTTTCAAAAATGTATTGCTCAGGATGGTCTATTCTTTTAGAGGACCTATAATGCTATCTATAATATATTTTGAGTTGTGCCCCAAGGGAGAAATAACTTGTGATACAAACAGGATTAATGATACTTTGCACACTGCAAATGGGAGAGTTATCCAAGTCCTACATCATTATCCACTGATCGAATTACCAATTTGAGATTCGCATAGGCTTAGTGATCTCATATTTGAAACATTCATAACTTCCTTACTATTGGTCCGATTGATTTCAAGCTATTGCTATTCTGTTTCTGTTATTTTTCTGCTGTCATACAAATCAGCTTATTACAAGGGTTGGATTGCCCTTTAACTGTTTGAAATAATGCTAACAAACAGTGAAAGATAAATGTTTGAGAGTATCCTTGTATTAGGCTTGAGTCGGTACGGTCGATCACACCGGGACCCGACCGTTGCCGTCGGGTGCCGGTTTCGTTTTTTGAGAACCGACGCTCCGAAAAAAAATAATGAAATATGTAAGAAATTGTAGTTTTGCACACCACTAAAATCAATCCACCTTAAAACTTTAGTATTTAATTGTTACCAATCATTTTCAAGCTCATCCTGAATCAATCCGAACTTCTGATATAAATATGGGTTGCAAAGAAGTTCGCCCCATGGCATGGGGTTGTTGTTGCCAGCTGCTAGCTAGCTACTGTACTGGCCGGGTCTCTCGGCAGGATTAATAAATCAGGTTGAAAGAAAAATTGATGTTTAAATAATAAAACGGCTTTCTAAAAAGTACTTCTTTACAACATACCAATCAAATAATTTTTAAAAGACAAAATAGATATTTTTTCTTTGATTTTGAACACCGCATGCTTCTTTTAAAAGTTGAAAATTACTTGGTAATCACAAGAAGTTCCGATACGGATAGCTGTTGCAAGGCAAGTTCAGACTAGTCTCGGAAAAATGCGCAGTGCTCCTCGTAATTAGCTGTAATGCGTGCCAGAACGAACCCAGACAAAGACGTGATCGTAACGAGAAAAAAAATCATTAAACACTACGAGAGCACAATTGGAAAGACAACTACTCAAAATTATCGTAAGAAGATACATACATTGTAACTTGGAGGAAGAACACAATAGTTGTCCAAGAAAAGCCACAGAAATAGTGATATTTAAGGAGTTACTATTTAAGGAGTTACTATAGGTACAATCATTATCGGAATGGGCCTGCTGATATGTCCGAATTACACGTGTTTGAACACGAGGCTAGAATGAAACCAAATACCGCCCTCTACGGTAAAAAGCAGTATAACATAGGATTCGAGTATTTGCAGCAGGCCTTGCGATAAAAATGTACCCAGTTACTCCTCGATTATCACAATTTCTGTGGCATTTCTTGGGCGATTATTGAATTCTTTGTCCAAGTTATGTATCTGATTATGGTAATTTTGAGCAGTAGTTGTCTTTCCTATTGTGCTCGTAGTTTTTAATGATTTTTTTTCTCGTTACCATCACGTCTGTTCGGGTTCGTTCTGGCACGCATTACAGCTAACGAGGAGCACTGCGCATTTTTCCGAGACTAGTCTGAACTTGCTTTGCAACAGCTATCCGTATCGAAACTTCTTGTGATTACCAAGTAATTTTCAGCTTTTAAAAAAAGCATGCAATGTTTAAAATAAGAGATAAATATTTATTTTGTCTTTAAAAATTATATGATCGGTATATTGTAAAGAAGAATTTTTTAGAAAGCCGTTTTATTATTCTAACATTCATATTTTTGACCAGATTTATTCGACCTGCATAAATCAAACTGGCGGCTCGAATGTTGTCTTTTGATTTTTGCCTCAGTTTTTTTTTACTTTTAGAGGCACGATAATGGCACTAAACATCGCCAATCATGGATGAAAATAATGTCAAATGGAAGAATATACCGATCTGAGCCGAGGTATGCATGTGTTGATTTATTTGATTGACAAAAAAGGTCACTTTTAAGGGACATACTGATGATAATAATCATGATTTGCGCCTTTTATAGAGGCAAGTGACAAATCTTGCGAGCTGACTTCGGGACACCGGGTCCCGATCGGTGCGAGGCCGTCGGGACCCGGTTTATGAAAATCCCGACATGACTCAGGCCTACCTTGTATATGTAGAGATTTTGTCAAAGTCATTAAATCAGTGCTTTAGAATTGATGACAAGAAATGCATTCAAGAATCATGCAATTTTTTTATTGGTATTAAGGCTTGTATAAAGTGAAGCCCCTTCACTCCACAATGTAGCCAGTCGCTCCCTAAATAAGCATTTCACATATGGACATGATAGCATGGAAGAGCACAACATACACATATCGCCCAAAGCAGATGCATGGTTGATAGCTAGCATTAAACTAGCTCACGTGCAGATCATGAGGGGTGTCTGTTTCCAGACTATTATTTTGCCTCCATATATGAGGAGAAAGAAGCACACACATATCACAGGTCCCAGAAGATGAAACAATTTATTTTCCAGCAGGGCACACGGAAACCGAATGCAGCCAGCCGCCATGAGCCCCAGTGACACAGCTAAATCAAATTACCAGGAGTAGAAGGGGGGCAGGCAGGCAGGCAGGCAGGCAGGCAGGGAAAAAAAATGTTGTTCACAGGGAAGGGCGGCAGGCAGTGTCGGCACTGGATCAAAGCACTGTAAGGAGATCCGCAGAGGAGAGAGAGGGAGAGGCTGGGAGAGAGAGGGAGAGACTGGGAGAGGAAGAGAGAAAGCGGAAGAGGGAGGGGAAAGCAGGAGAGATGGAAAATGTAACAGTCTCACAGGCTAGGCACCCCGCTTCCATCTCCAAGATTTCCCATTTGGAGACCGCCTTTGTGTTAATAGGAATAGCCTTGGGTAGATTAGAAGCACAGTGTGAGGCAAACTTGTATTTCACCTCAACATGGAAAACAACTAACAAGCAGTTGCTACTTTGTAGCTGGCCGGCCGATACATCATCATCCTCTCCTGGCTTTACCATGCTCTCATAATGCGGGTGTTAACACACTTGTTTCAACAGCACCAAAATATATTCATACATGTACCTCAAAGTGCAGTGTTTCTGCCTACGGTATGAAATATGGTTAATCTGATACTACATTAAAAGGAGAGGGAATTCCATACATGTAGGTAAAAGAAGCGGGAGGAAATGACAGAGAGGCTTTGCAAGAACCTAATACAGAGAATGTACCATTAAAATGCTTATAGGAATCACTGCAAATTAGTTGCAAAAAAAGATAAACTTTGAAGTTCATGTGACACGATGGGCAAGCAGAACAACATTCACCAGAATGTTTTTTTAATGAAGAAAAGTGGGGTATGCCATAAAAAGGCGGCATACAGTACATGACAAAACGCACTGGCAGCGAACAGGCAAAAGGGATTATAAGACAGCCAGGAGATGTGAAAAGAGAGAGGAAAAACAACAGAAATGAATAAATATGTGAGTGGAGATGGATTTTTATAAACAGATTTGAACAAAGATAGCAGAGCAATGCAGGTAATCATATGTAATACCCACACATAGAGCCATACACACAGAGGAAAAGAGGGGGGAACTGCACATACAAATAGGATTCATACAACCAATATAAATGCCAAGCAATGGGTTTTTATTAGAACTCAAATTTTCCATGCATGGTCGAACAGCTATGGTAGGCCGCAGACTTCAAAGCACCGACCCGCCTGGATGAAAATTTGATTCTGAAGCTTAACAAGCTCCATACAATGGCGTAAATTGGTGTAAAGCTGAGGCCGCGGCAAGCTCCCTACAAAACAATTTACAAACATGTTGGCAAAGGGATGATATCTATCCTTACCCCCCCCCCCCCCTTCTCTCTCTCTTTCTCTCTCTCTCTTTCCTTTTGATCATGATAATCATATTGCCATAAATGACTGGGCACGGATGGAATTAGTGGGTTAGCTGGGAGGTGGGCTGTGAAAAATTCAGCACGCACTGCATTTGTTGATGTGATTAACAACACAAGGGGCTTAGGCAGAGAGAGCTTCCGCTGTAGGCACAAGTTTGGCCAGCTCTGACTGCTCTCGCACAATAGCCAACCTTCTCTCCTCTTTTCCCTCCTTTCACTCTCTCCTCTCTCTCTTTCATCATTGTCATTTATTTCTCTCTACAACTAACCTAGTTTGCATTTTAATAAGAATTGCCCCTAAACTGCGCTATTACCCAAAATACAAGGCTAGGCTCATTGTGTGGTTTGTGTGTGTTCTGCTGATTTCATCAGCATGTCTATTAGAACCTGTATTCATTTTTGTTTATCTTCAAAAGAAAAGTATTCTTCAGAAGATAGAAAGGAACTCCAGGTAGGTCACTGAACATTGATTTGAATAACCGACAAAAAGAACATTCTTGCATTTCTTATCATCTAACTCATCGTGATCAGAATGAGATTTGATGATTGATTATGAAGGATTATATTGTCTGATGTTTGTAAAAATTTGTAGAATATTGGGAGATATGTTTCATTTTTCTCTACCTTTACAGCATTTGCAGTCATTTGAGGCAACTGCAATTAAGTCCTACCAGATCTGCCAAAGCTCTATCAACATTCATGCTAAATCATGCAGGATTCCACACTATACATACAGATTTTTTTTTTTAAACAACTAAAGACATTTTAAAGGGGAAGTCCACCCTGATATCAAGTTGGTTTTAATATAAGCCAAAGAATGGGAGAAACAAATTTGTAAAAGTTTGAACAATATCCAATCAAAAATAGGAAAGTTATGAACTTTGAAGTTGTCATCAGTGAAACACTAATTGATAAGACTGTGGAGTATCGATGATGGAATACTGTAGGTTTCAATCAGGGGTTGTAAACAAAGCATATTTCAATTTAAGTATATTTAGGATGAAGGTATGATTGAAAATAAGGGAAAATATAAAGCTTTTTAGTACTGGGCATGGGGGGGGGGGTTCACAAGATGCGTCACAGAGTTGCCAATTAGTTTTTCACTGACGACTGCTTCAATAATTCATAACTTTTTTTCATTTTTAAGCAGTTTTTTTATCAAACTTTCACAGACCTGTTGTTTCTGCTTCTATTACAAACTTATTATCAAGGTGGACAAAATAAAGTATGGTGGTCTTTGGTGATTCTATCAAACGGAGCATTCCTGTCCATCTATTTCTTTTCTTTTTTGCTACTTACACACTAGAGTCTGTTAGGGACATGGTATCGTCTGAGATGGCATCACTACTGAGGGATTGAAGCTCGGAGTCATTGTTAGACGTTGCAGGGGCTATGGCAGCACAGCCTGGGTGATAGGGGTTCTGCCCACCAAGTAAACCGGGGTATAACCTGTAAGGGGAAGAATAGGAAAGTTATGTTATGTTCTGTAATTAAGGGAAACTTCAGCTCTGAAATGCTCTAAATGAGCTCTGGAAAGATTAAAGAAGAAAAAATTGCATAAACAATAATCATGTAGTTTTTTTTCTTCACTAGCCACGATTCAAATTTTGACCAGCAAGTAATTTTTTTTAGAACCAATCTAAACCATGCATGCAATACACATAAGATACAGATACAACCCACACTATACACATGTACATACAGTAATGTATGCAAGGATTCAATTTCATAATCAAGATCTGAATTTCCATTTCATCATCCCAAGAATGCACAGCCCCCTCAGTGGCCTTGCATGACCAGTCCCTACTACCAAGATGACAAGGGCTTACTCCTTGGCTGGCTATCTGACCGAATGGTGTTGTGTACGCTGTGTGGTGTGTGCGTGGGGGATAGTAAAAGCCCGGTGCTGGTCACACACAAGCACACACATACCATTGGTCCTGGCACAGATTGCTTGGAATTGAACACCTTATTGACTTTGTTTTCTTACACCACCTCTTCTGTTGGTGTATGAAACCACTAGTCTCCCCATGTCCAGACAGCTACAACTGTATGCACTTTGCCAGGTAACCCATATTTCTGGGTTATACATGTAGGCCTACACGTACATGTACAAAGAGAATTCTGACTTACAATAAAGGAATACGTGCCTTTACTTATTTCAACATAATTTCTCATACAAGGTCTGTATTTATGCATGTTGGCATAAGTTGAACATTTGACTGAACAATCATCATACTAAGCCTACATGCAAGTACAAAAACAGGCATATTAGAGGCCTACATGTAGGCTGAAACATGAAACTTTCATGTATTGTTAGTTTGAGGGCAGGCTCTTTTGCAACTCTATTTTTATTGCATTCCATCCAAACATATATCACAACCTGAATGATCAAATGCTTCAGCGATTGCATGTACTATCAAGAATTATTGTGAGCAGGATTTGTCAAATGGGTATGGCAAATAAGACCACAGCTACTTCCACGAGCAACCCATACTGGGCTCTACCATGTTGTGCAAACGGTACTTTGTTTGGACATTCCAGTATCGTTGGTCAAAGGTCAAATGAACTATAATAAAATGGGGCCAGGGTGGCGGATTGCCTTTCTCCCTGTCACTGCAATGGCTTGGTTTTCAAACACGGACAAGACATTTCTTTTTTTAATCTGGTCTTTGAAAGGCAAATCCCCTTACAAACCTTTGAAGGCACAGTACAACAAGCAACAAACAGCAACACTTTAAAAGATTTCTTGATTCTTGCAATGTACTGTATCTGTGCTTGGTAAACAGTTAGCCTTAGGATCTACATGTGGTCCTAGGCATAGTCTTATATGTGGGGCTACATGTACAACTGTTGATCTAGTCACTGAAGGGATACACCTTACATTACCATAATACTGATTACTGTGTTCTTAAAATCAGAGAATACTGTATGGCCTCATACAGAAAAACATGCAGTTCTCTAGTAGAGGTAACATACTATTTACATAAAATTATGTACCTTATTTTCTTTTTTGGTAAGGACTATGGCTATTCAATCAAACAAACAAAAATCTTTTTGTTTTAATGTTGTTCAACAGATTTTAAGTGTCAGTATAGAGGCCTAAATTGTACATATATGCAATCTAATAACATAGAAATCTAAATGACATAGTTATGAACATTGATCAATGCCGCACTTCTAGGCTAATATTAAATTCTACATCAGTGCGAATAAGCAGGTTGAAACTATGTGATCATGTCGGCATTGTCGATATGAAGCTCTTATTCAAGATCCATTTTGGGAAGGAGGGTGAATGCCTGAGTGCGCATCACTTTATGAAGTCCTAGGAGCAAGCCGAAACATAGCCTAAGGGTTAACCAAATTAATTTCAGCCTCCTACAAGCAAGGGAATCAAGAGACAATTTCCACCAGGCCTACTGCTCCCTCTCTGGCTCTCTCTCTCTCACCCAAACGTGTTCCTGTTCGATGTCGGAGCTGTTTGGACAAAGTCCGACTGCCGCGTATCTCAGGGGGCTGGACCACACAAAGTCTCAGTGGGAAGCCATTTTCTAATTTTCTCTTTCTTATTTTGACCCTTCTTCTTTGAAACAACATCAAACTGTGCTCCATTTCTGTCTGGTCTCCTTCACAGCTTTGTAATTCATATCTATGAAAGCGTACTTCATCTGCGTTCCTGTTGGGTTCACACTCACATAAAACTATCAGTACATCAGTACGGTTATAACAAACATCCGTTGAAAATTACAATGTATCTGCTGTCAGAAAATGGCCAATCGTTACAAGAATATGAACATTCACAAACTTCCCATTCATAAATTGTTTGCCTTCAGGCTTAAAAGGCAATCCAACCCTTGTAATAGGTTCATTGATATGAAAGCACAAAACTGACGGAAGTTTGAAATAAATTGGAGAAAAAAAAGAAATTTATGAATGTTTGAAATATGAGGTCACTGGTCTATGTGAATCTCAAATTTAAGTTGGTAGATTGTGGCTTTAATAGTTGTGTACAAAAATATCATTTACATGTACATCTGTTTTTGCTCCTGAATTCTTTCTCCGTCGGGGCACTACTAAGTATATTGTGGATAGCATTATAATGTAGGTCTTCTAAACAGAAAGAAACTCCAGAGTCAAACATCTTTGAAAATTGACATTTTAGTCATTTTGTGTGCTGGAACAAATGGGACATGGGGAAAGTGTACCGGTACATCACAGAGACATTACTTCAGCCTCCCGAAGAGCCCTTACCTTTTAAAAGTGAGGACAATTTTGATGATATTTTCTTTGCTTTAAAGTTAGGACACACATAGCACCCTGTGACTCAATGAAAAATCATACACGGCTTCTAATAGAGAGTCAAATGCGTTCACGCCGAGATGATATTTGTTTCTAGCCTTCCTCACTAGGCACCCAATAAAAGAATTGCCAAAATATAGCCTTCAGTGAAAGAGATATTAATTGTTTTTCAGATCAAAATCATCATAGAATAAACTATCAAAAATATAGAACTCAAAATAGTCTCACTTACGTACATTAGGTATTGATTAACTGCTGTTATAGTTTGGTAGAAAACATTATTACTCAAAACAACTGGTGACAAAAGCCTAATGTAGGTATATGAGGACCACCGATGTTGTAGTAGCCGATATACCACTGCTTTGTAAACAGGATAGTTGTCAGATGATCTCAAATCTAGCTCAAGAATGCTATTTGGAGTTAATGTACATGTACATGTGAGGCAGTGAAAACTGTAGGGCAAGAATGCATAACTATATGTTAACTCATGAATATCATAGTGATACTGGTAATATAGTGAACCAAGGAGCTTAATAGACAAATGGAGAAACAGCAATTTCTTTTAAGAGCAAACCAAAAACTAGTTATGTGTTATGCTTTCTTTCATTCTCTGTTTATCCTTCTTTTTTCTCTCCTTATGCAATCTTCTGTTTATCTTTTTTTATCAATTTCTCTCAAGCTTATTGATACTTTGTTTATGGTGGCTACTGGCTAGCATTTTACTGCACTGCAGAATCAGCTGAAAAATGTGCCATTTGCTGCTTTCTGATGGGAGGGAGCGTCGGTATTGTGAATCCATCAGTGAATGAGGTGTAGTGACATCTTACAAATTTCTTGAATTATCATGATGATAACATGTAGATGTACAGTGTAAGAGACCTTTAAACCTTCTGTATCTATTTGCTTCGTACGTGTACAGTATTCTATTTAAAACAACTGTTATGTACAAGGTATGGCTACCGTAGTTGTAAAACCTTGTTTTTCCTTACATGTACATGGTTGTTTCTTAATTCATTATCTGCACAACAGAAATAAATTATGCTATTACTCCTACCTACATATAGCATCCACCTTTGTTATCGTTATTTTATTTACTTAATTACCTTTTTTAGGGGAGGGGGTATTCATCAATGACACCTGATACAGGAAAGAAAATTATCTGTGAGTTTATGACCTAGAGATGCCAAGATCACTCCTGCTCACTCTTAACTCCAAGGTCTTGATCAAAAGCTATATTTCTCTGCACACAATCAAATTCCCCTAGCCCAGATGTAATGATCTTCCTTTATCACTCACTATTACATAACACAATGCCAAATGCAAACCCATCAGTGATGTGAGATACAGTACAAACACTACCCCCACTGAGAAATACTCAGCCACAATAAAAGGCACCTTCAAGTATTTTAGCTTTAATTCCAGCTATTAGTATTAAGACCTACTTTGTACTGAACATGTAGGCTTTTGTTTACTCAATGAGTGGATATTTTAACAAGAGGTCCATGTATGCTTCCAATATGTTCATTTGAACCAAATTCATGACTTCATAACAAAACTATGTATTATTGTACCTTTAATAGCATTATTCAGCATGCAATTAATTGCTGTTATTTTTGTTCATTATATCTTACTTCTATTCCTTGTTTATAATGCAGATGATATTGATTCCAAGACGATTCAGTGCCTAACAGATCTCATACATGTATATTATTATCGTTAGTAATAGTATCATACATGTACTGTAGCTACTCGCATACCGAAAGTGACCCCTCTCAATAATCTATGAATTATGTCATTAGGGAGCCGCACTTGAGAAAAACTGTGGTGTACCAATGCCGGACTGTATAAAGACATGATACACCTTGGCTGGCTAAATTGCATTGGTCATCTAGTCAGGCAGGCAGGCAGGCAGGCAGGCTTGCGCTTGGGAGGCAGAAAGAAGTACAGCGAAAGGTCGTCTGCAGTGCATGACCGTGGAGAAAGCTGGTAAATTAGATTGGACTGCAAGCGGCAAGCCAGCCTATGGGACCGAGGACAGCAGTATAATGGGACATAAACAATGTATCAGATTGGTGGCAAAAATTACCACTCTCATTCCCCCTGCATTTTGGCAACTTGCTAAAAAACACCCAGATTCTGAACACCTAAATGGTTTAAACCAAGATATTTTGCTAGTGCTTTTCTCTTCAGGTAATGACTTTTGATGTACCAAAATCTTTTCTCACATATACAGTGACCCAAAATGTAAGCGTTTTTTGAAATTATTCCAACATTATTGTTTTTAGCCTGAGTTGTTTATCCTGCATGAATCAAAATGGCAGATCACATGTTCTCTTTCAGTGTTTTGGCTAGTTATTTTTACTATCAGAGGCATGACGATAGCACTTAACATCACCACACATGGATAAATATCACTTCATGAGATATTTGAATATTAACCAAGATATGCATGTATATTTAAAGGTTATTTGCTGCTATCAATGGTCAACTATAAGCAAGCATGTTTATACTTTAGTAGGAACATTTAGATCTAACAATGGTAGATGTAGCAGATGTGTTTTGTTGTACCCAGGAACCTGCCCAAAATTTGAGCAGGTACCCAATTTAAAGAGATACCCAAAATTCCCAGCCCTAATACATGTAGGAGGTTTTGGGAGCTCATCTTCATGACATTTTGAAATTTGGGGTAATGACAACAAAAATGTTAACATTTGTACAAAATGACTTTTTCACATTAGTTTGACATCACTTCATATAATAGGAAAAGTCAGACTGATAAGATGCTGACAGTATCAAAACAAAGTTGTGTAATGCTTACCTGTCCTGATATCTTTCTGCGTTATGCCTGTGATGGCTACTCCTGAACAGAAGATCCGCTGTAAGAGACCCTGCCTGAGGCAGGTCTGAAAGTTCTGAGTCCTCCGGTAATGTTGGAAGGTACCCTGCCTGTACATGATGGCCATTACTACCATTACTGGAGCATCCTTCTGAACTCTTTGGACTCACCCCACCATTGTTAACATATTGCACGTACACGTCCGACTTGAGGAACATTGGGTAGGACGTCTCCCGCATGTACTCCTCCACTTCCCTCTGACTAGCATCAAAGAGTTTACCAGCCACTTTGTTAGTCCTTATCGACTCGGCCACATGATTCCGAGTAGCAGTTTGTAACCTGACGACCTGTTGTCCTTCTTTCTTGATAAATCTCCTGTAAATGAGTTTGGCCAGGTCAGTCCTGACAGGATCATTGTCTGACTTTTTCTTGAAACCCTGCGTGGCAAGCCAGAACAACAGCGGGTTCTCCGCATTCTCCTGAATGAGGTAATGTTTAAAAAGTTGGATCCCATCCTCATCGCAAAGCAAGGCATGCAGGGATTCCGTCCATCTCGTGTAAGGTGGTGTCACAGATGCCGAGCCTTCGGGTTCAAAACCCAGCGGAGCACCTTCTTCCAGCATTCCTCCTTTAGCGGCATCTTTGAGATAGGAGCGTCTTGGCGTTCCTGCAGACTGGTCACTCTGCTTACCACTCTTGACGCTGGATGACACGCTTCCTCGGTCTTCTGTCTCCTCTCCTGGCACTGGAGGGCGCTCTGACAGCTGACTCCCTCCGCTATCAGCCAAGAACCTATACACTTCTAGACTCATGATGGCTGAACATTGTAGGCTGTTATTCCTTTACAAATGTGCCTGCCATCTCACTCAATATGTGCGCATCAACAAATCTGTAAAATGGAACAGAAATCGAAGGAAAGAAATAGAATTATAATGCTTGAGGAATTCTAACAATATTTTGAATTTATAAGGTGAAGGTCTAGTGACTCTAGTGAAAATGCATGAATTAGATTAGTAATATGTACAATGTCAGAATACATAAATGAAAATGCATTCTCAGAAAAAATCTACTATTTCTAAATTGATAATTCAAATTTCAACACAAAAAAATTAGATCACAGAAACAGTGGGGGCGATAGTCCTCATTAAAATGGGGGAGGGAGAGGCTTATCCATACTGTACTTCCCTCTTCTTCTTCCTCCATGCTATCATTACTCTTCAAAGACAACAAAAAAACTTCAAATCTAACAGATTCAAGACAACATAGTAGTACCGATACTATTACTAGTGGGGGGCTAGTGGCCCAAATTGAAAAATTGGCTTGAGTTTACAGGATTTGACCACATGTGAACATGATCAAACCCTGGTGGTTGGACTACCAAGTCTTTGAAAAGCTCAATTTAGGTCCATGCAGGACTTGGGGACAACTTCTTCTCCACACACACTTGCAAAATCAGAGTCCTTCCACATGCCAGTATGATGTTGATAATCCATAAAGAAGAGGAGTTTTACAAAAATGAATTACAGCTCATGGTATAATTTTTTTCTTTCTTCCAAACACTCATTGTAGTAATAAATGACACAGAAGTGGGGGATCAGCATGCATGCCACATTGCACAGCTGGAATTTCTGACTATAAAAAATATGATCAGTGCTATGCTCTTCCAAGTTGACTAATGCAGTATTTTCTGTGATCCTTTAACAGCAGATCAAGATATTAAACCCCTGGAAGCTGAACAAAAACCCTACTTAATGTGATTTGCCAGTACGGGTGAAAGGTCAAGCTCTCAGTGAATGCTTGGAGAGGTCTCTCACGGGTCACCAGGCCAGGTCCCTAATTTACCTGTACTCTGCAGCATCAGAGCTTGTCAAAAGATACAGCAAGACGATTCTGTTCATCTTTCTTTTTACATAAATTCACAAAAATGATGAAGTTCTTGAAAATTTGACAAATTACATTTTGTACTGTAGATAGTAGTACAACATTGGAAAGATTTTCACATTTAACATTCAAGGCAGGATATGATGTCCTCAAAATTGTACTATATTCCGTACTGAGATACGGTATGTACATAACAGGTACACTCAATACAAAAAAAGCAAAGCAAATCAAACGGCAAATCTGTTCCTGAATCACATCATCTTGACCGCAATTTACGATTTCTCCTCTCTCAAAAAAAAATCCACAGAAAATTTCATTGATCAGACAAATTTGTACACATTCTAGCTGTCATTTGAAGCCCTTTCCCCGCACAATATTCACATTCCTTCTGCAGATTTCTCACGACTCAACAAACGTAAATTCCAGAAGAAAGCCGGCTTCGCAAGCACCCTTGCGCTCACGAGCTACGGTTCTTAATCTCAATCGCATGCACATACATGTACGTATATAATGTAACTTGTGGTGGTTACTGTGAGAGTTCCAAGCACAGCCAGCGTGTGCATTTGCTATGCACAGAACACCAGCATACATAATAAATGTAGACTCAAAAGCCAGCCATCTGATTAGCATACATTAAAAAGGTCACTTTCTGTGATGTATACAGCACATCCCTTGTCTTCCCATCAAGACAAACCACTGGCCGGCCGGCCACTGCAATTGATGAGCTCCACATCCTGTGACTGTAAGAAGGGAGAGATCCCCCCTCAGTCTCTCATTTATCCCGCTGTATCATTTTCCATGAATTTCTTGCATTCCTAGTACAATACAAGGAGCTGACCTGCTCATTTTAATTCCAGATTCCATCCATTCAGTCATTTTCCCTCAGTACCTTCACAAAAGCCATTCACTGGGTGGTGCAGTGCTGGCTATTGAGGCTCACTGGGCTTTTCTTTCTCCCACACTCTCCCTCTTTCTTTCTTCTCTTATGTGTTCTTAGACTTGCAGGCCAGTGCAGTTTTACTGAATAGCCAGCTCTCTCCCCTTTTGTTACATACAATCCCTGCCTTAGCTTCTGGCAGTGCCAACACTGCTCGATGTTTTGTCAGAGGTGGAAGTTGAAGCACAACATTCAGTGTGCATACGAGCAGAAAGCTGGCATGACACACAGTATACTACTGTGAGATCGCTGCTTGAATTGTACAGTGGCCGATACACATTCTGAATTTAGGAAAGCACATTTCTTTTCTGTAATAATCACTGCATAAAATTCAATGCACATGTACACTGTAGTTCATATGTTTTATAACTTACTTTGTTAATCTACCATATTATTAAGGAAAAAATAGAGAGAAGCGTGCATACACTTGATAATTGGTATGAAGTAAATGTAAAATCAAAATCAATTTTTTGGGGGGCTAACTATTTCATGTCAGTCCTTTGCAAATAAACCTGCAATAGGGCCTACTCTGTACTACCATGTATAAGTACATGTACACGTAGGTGGATGGATGGTTATTAATATTACGAATCTGCAACATTAAAAGCACTCCACTTCAAAATACAAATATTCTAACATTCTAAAAATTTAGAGCTTGCACTCTGGGGCCTGGGCTTTCAGAAGCATACAAATAAGGTAACAACATACATGTACATGTCTGAAGATGATTAATATGAACATTACAGTACATGTATATTACACATAATAATACCCATTTTCTTCACTAAAATAAATCATTAAAAGGAAATATTGGAGAAAATATATTTAAAATATAACAAAATACATGTTGTTACAGGTACATGTACACTTTACATTTGCAGTAGGCTAATCTACACATTATCTGTATAACATACACTATCCAGTATCCACTCAGAGTTTTATGGTAACTAATGTTCAACACTTTCACTGGCAAGAATATGAATAGGTGGAACCACTGCATGTACAGTACGTAGAGGACAGGGTTGTGGTTAATGAATGAGGCCAATCCATTCATAAATAAGTAGTAAATAAATGAACAAATCCACACTATTTCCCCCCACAATTTAAAGTCTATATTGCATAGGCCCCATAAATGGTAGCATTTTGATATTTTGGGTTACGGACATACAGTACTTGTACATGTACATGTAGATGCAGATTAGGGCACCCATCTCAAATGTCTCAAGGTTTGCATTACACATGCAAAAGCAAAGGAAGATTCCCCTTGTTCTCATGTTCGACTATTAATTATTTCCTACTATTCCTAGTTTCTACTCAGTTTTTATTTTAAAACAATACTCAAACTTTCACTACTAGTACTCAGTTTCTTTTTGCCCAACATGGCAGTCAAGTTTTACAACTCTAAAAACCATGCAATAGCTTTGGGATCAGCCCAAGAGGATATCCCTTGTACTTGAGAACAATGATAATATTCAACAACAAAATTCTCACCGCAGGCTTTTTTATATTTATTATTATTCTGTGAAATACTGGTATAATACAGAACACAGTTTGTAATATCAAAATCAGATTAGATTGGAACTTGCTTGAAGATCATCAAAATGTTTCTCATGGAATTTTTTCTAATTGTGAATTACAATGAAAAACAAATATGAATGGTATTGTGGTTCCATAAGTATGGATTGGTAAGGTATGATTATAATCATGAATTCGAGCAGGATTAGGGAAATATACATTGTACATACATGTACATTATTGTAGCTTGAGATTACTTTTAGGATTTTAAATACATTTATAGATATGACATAAAAATACATGAGCCTGGATTTTTTTTTTACAGAAAAAAAGATGGTTGGGGAGGTACATGCATGTACAGTATATCGCGATCTGATTGTCATCTGGCAAAAGATTGGCCTATGCACGGTAGCCTGATTGCTGAGAACACAGGCATCCTTCCAGAATCTTGGGTAAATTAAAATATGCTACACTTCTCGTAATGAGTCTGGTGTAAACTCTATGCTTTGTATGCCTGCATACACAACTGATAATCTTCCTACAGATCTTGTGATAGGCTGCATGCATAGCCCTTTGAATATTAACATAAGAAGAAATCAACAAATAATGTAATAATTAAATCTCAAATGCTTGAGAAATGTGGTGTGCACACATTTCCTCTTTTTCTTTTTTCAAAAACGTAAAAATAACATTCTAGTCTTTACAAGTGATTGGCATGTACAGTGTAGAGTGTATTACACATACATGTACATGTACATGAACATGTAACTTTAACCTTCATACATAACAGAATAAATGCTAATTTCAATAAAATTGCAAAAGAATTTGCTACTATCAAGTATCAACTCCTTTTTTACATTCAATGAATGAAAATTTGTAATGTTAAATACTGTGATTAAATTGTATGTTGATTAAATCGTATGTTGACTAAATCTAGTCATGTGATTAGTCTAAATTGGAGTCGTGATTTTAGCCATGCCTGCCTACCGGTCAATAGTTTTTTAAAGATGCCTGTTGCCCCAGGTTACGAGGTAACGAGCCGCATAAATCAATTTTGCCGAGATCCCCATTGGCTTACGTGTAAAAAGTTTCTGTGTGCGTGCGCAGATACCATACAGTGCTCTACCATACAGTGAGAGATAAAACACGTGCCGTAAAGTAATTTGGCGACAATAGTCAAATCACTGACTAATCGCCAATAACTCAAAACACAACAACAACAACATTTGTCTGCGATTCCCGAATGATCGCTATACAATCAGGCAACTTTCCAGCGAAGATTTACAGAAAGTGTCTCAGATTTTCTGTGATGTTTTAAGTAACCAATCTTTACTCAAGAAAGGATAAGGTAAGAATTCTTTGTAGATTTGTTTGTGAATGCAGTATATAAAAGATATAATGACTGCTTTAATACAGGCTCTCGAGTACGTTACATCCTGATATAATCCCCCAGCCAGCGCGCCTTGGAGTCATATCAGGCAGGGGGGAAAATACATGGGGACTCAGGGCTAATTCGCCCTGGAAATGCCAAAAGAGCCCCGAAAGTCATAAAACTAAAGAGCCAAACAAAATTTCCATAGAGTTCAACGCAAAACAAATTAAATAGTGTTATTTTCATGCAAGCAAGCTTGAAAAGTAGCCCCCAAAATTTGATTAATATTTTTTCAAATGATATCAGGATGTAACGTCCCCTTGAGGCTTGAGCCTATAGTATAAGAAACAGTGATACCTCTCAGACAGTCTCACTTGTCATGACTTAGCAGTCAATATTTCTATACTAAATTACTCAAGTAGTTCTAGTAAGAGCAGGGCCACTAACCTCTACACTACAGCACTATCATGACCATTGGGCCTAGCTAGGCAAAAAAATCTGCATGCAACCAATTCACTCACAGCCAGTCAAATTTATGATACAAATTGCAATGGTAAACTAATGGTAGTAATATTGGAAGCGAGGGCACATACACGCTACATGATTGGTGCGTGTGAAATCCACACACAACACCAACTTCAACTCAACTTCAAGTCAACGATACCGCATTTGTACATTTAACAAGTTTCACATAGAAAATCGAACCTGGGATCACTCAAATTATGCCTGCACTTGGCTGAAGATCCACTTGTATGATAATCCAATGTAATAGCTATCCACGAGGTCCAGTTTCGGCAGAGTAAACGTATTCTTGAATAATGTTCCAGCTTAACGGCCATGCAGATACACGGCCCATCGATGCAGCCAGGCAAAGCAGTAGTCGATAGTCCACTGTATAGCTTACCCCTCGAAAGCTACGGGACGGCACTGCGGTGTGTATACGCACCACGCACCGTGCATAGGCCCTTTCGAAGTTTTGAATGCACACATAGATCTAGATCTACTCTCTTCTGGAATAAAATCTTACCCACAATGAATAAAAGTTTCAAGCTCCTCAGCCTGATATCCAGAAATATTACTCAACATGCACTGAATTAGATACAACCAGCTAACCTTCCTTACCTTCTAAACTTTCGAATATAAGATCAACCGATGCTCGCATACTCGTCAATGCATCGTGGAACTGGCAAGTCACTTTACATTTGCGGCATATAGACAAGCCAGGGAAGTTTCTCAGTGTTGCAAAGTGCATGAAACATCAAAGCACATGCCCGCCGCCCGAAAAGCTCCCAAAGGGCAGTGACGTACACACAAACGACAAGCCGCACCAATCAGAAAGCAATTCATTAAGTCGCTCGGACCGCTTCCACTCGAAAATATAGGGGTGTTCATCTTAACGTAAATAGATAAGGCTTGGGTAATATTCAAAGCACGTTACGTATTATGCAACAGAGAAGCAAACAATCGTTCGTATCATATAAATGCTGATTGAATATTTACTTTATTGGTCGAACAGTCAGATTCTTACTAATAAAGAGTCGGAAAAAAAACACCATAACCCCGCAAAAAAAAGCCGAACACCTTGATTTTCACCCTATATTTTTCATACAGGTCACACTGTCATTGTAGCGTGAGAAATTATTAGATTTTTCTAATCCTATCCCCCTCTTTCCCTCTTACTTTCCTTCTCTCTCTCCGAAACCAGTGGCTGACGCCAATGTTGTTTTACACAGCCGCAGGGAAGAAATCTTCTTATTTCTTTCTCCTCTAACGAGAACACACTTTGAAAATACCCTTGTTTTGTTTTCCACCAATTCGATACCCCACTCCCCCCCCCCCCCCCTCCCCCATTTTACACCACACATTCAACATAAGCTTATTGCATAGCGTTTCCTTTAAAACATCATGATATCCCTTCATCATATGTTGGATTGGGGGAGTTTTAAATTCTATCAGTCTTTTGTCAAAATGGGAGAATGAAAAAAAAAAAGTTTCGTTCCCTTAATTTTCTTTCTTTTCCTCTGCCATGACATGGTCGAGCGCTCTTATTTACAATAGAAAACAGGGGAAGCGGCGTCGTATAAAATCTACAGTCGGGTTTATTCAGGTAGTAAAAATTCACTGGCTACAATTGTGATGACTCGCCGTCGCTTTTTATTTGTTTTTTGTTTTTTTACCACCTGGGCTCTCCTTGCTATATTCCTCGCCAGGAATTTGTGGGGCCGAGATTCTATCGCGAGTTTTTTAGTGGCTTGTGACTTTCGGTATTCAATCGTGATAGTGCTCAGATATTTTTAAGTGAATGGATCGGAAATAAATTGAACAGAGAAAGAAACTTAGGCAATATCAATGATTGAAAGAAAAAAAAGATATTACACCAGTATAATTCAAAGTTCTTAATACAGAGCCTGCATGTATTATGATATAATCTCAACGCTCTATGTGTTCTTCGATATACACTTTAATTTCATCAAGAAGAACTAGGCATATCGTAATTTTCATCAATTTGCATTTCTACATTATAAGTATATAAAAAGGATATATTCCTATATGGCCGTATAATTATGTGTGCCCATTAAATTGTCCTGCCTATAATGTCATCATAGAAATTAGCTACAGAATTACCCAATTATAGAGGCATGGGTATGCGGCATCGGGGTCGCCTCTTGCGTCTCAAGAGAATCACAATAATTGACCATTTTGAAATTTGTTGATTTGAAGAGAAATTCGTCGCCCCGCTGTCCAGTACATAATGGGATAACAATAGTAGAAACAGACAGCTCGATTTTTGCTAATGCATATTGCATAAAACATTCAGGATTTAAACTCCTAATATCAATTTAGGCTGATGTATTATGATAAGTATATTAAATTCAGTATTTACATTATTTTTAACGTGTAAGATTGTCCAGGGTACGGTAGTCCTATTACCTCTACATGAAATGGACGTGACCTCCAAGTTACATGCATGTGCAATGCAGAAAAAGTTGTATAGAAAAAGATAAATGTTCACATTAGATCAATGATCAAGGCCAACCGTTAATAATGTTAAATGAATATTCCCGACATGATGTCACCGAATGGAAGGCCTTCCAGGATTGAAGAATATAAAGGCAATATTAGGTTTGTTTTTAGAGCATTGTTATAATTGTTATTACTAATAGTAGTACATATACTATTTCATCCTTTTCTAGAACATATTTTACACCTAAAATAGATTATTATGCATGGGATTGCACTAATCACTATTTTGGATGGTGAGGTCAAATCTTCAAGAGACTGTGCATACTGTTTTGGGCTATATAAAGAAAACATCTTGAAAAATCACAAAGTATCAATATTTGGTTACATATCAAAATCTTGATTTTGTTTTGTTTACCTGATATTTGATGTGTGCCTATAAATCCACTTTTGAAATGTCGACATGCATAAATGCTCAATTTCCCCTCGTCCAATCCAGCATTCACTCAGATAATAATTGAATTTTGTCAATTCTTCTACGAATAATTAGCGAGAAAAGAGGGGGATCTCACAAACAGCCTTTTTAGCTCACGTTTCTCCTCCTATTTCATGCCAATTCCAAATCATAATCGCAGGAACGACGTATAAAGGCAAAGCGTGTATACCACGAACGATGGCATGAATAAATATAGGGAAGGGGAAATGCGGGAGCGAGCGATGTAAAAGTTGAACCGCGGAGCTGTTATACCGCCTTCATTACTTACCTCTTTACGGGTGTTAATGATTTATCGCGAGCAATAAAAATAAGCCGCCGCTCTGTGATCTATGCCGACACGAAGCCCCGCCGATTCAACGCATCGCCTCCGTGCCGCACTGTTCAACGTATAGCTCCACCTCTGTGTTGTTCGTCCCTTCTCTCATCTTCTCTCATATTCTGTTTCCGCTCTATTCATTCATTCATCCTCTCCCTCTCTCCCGTTTTTAGTTTTTTATCTTGCCTATGCTTCTGACTTCATGCAAGGGCTGATTTTGATATGCCGAATAACAATCTGTATACTTGTATCTTTCGTATAATCATTTAATATCTTTCTCTCTTTCCCCTCACTTCTCATTTGTATCACTCTTCTCCTTCGCCCCCCCCCCCTTTTCCCCGGCTATAACCCCCCCCCTCTCTCTCTCTCTCTCTCTCTCTCACTCTCTCTCTCTTCCCATCTCTTCCTCCATCACTCCATCATTATCGCTGATAATAATTATCTCTCCATCCGACTCTCCTTTTCGAATCTCTCTTTCTGTCTATCTATGTTATTCTTTTCTCGACTGAGTCCGCGCTGTTTAGATATCGCTCAACAAAAGGAAGAAATTGATTGTGTTCAGCTTTAGGTCAAACGTGATTACAGCACAGTATGAACACAACATTCCAATTCTGTATAATTGATGATATCATTGGAATGTATACATCATCAGTTTACCGGCAAGATTATATGGCAAAAAATTCTGATATTGCTATGAATTAGTCTCGTTTGGTTTGGGCTATTTCCTCGCCTAAATTTCGACATTGCTCATTAAAATCAGTTCTATTTTGAAAACGAAATTAAAATACAAGAGGTTACCAGAAACCATATCCCAGGGTTTAAGATGAAAACCAAGGCTGAGTATCACTTTTTCTGTGATACAGTATTATTATACTTGTATCGGTTTCCCCTTTATGTTGTTCTTATAATCAACCAATAACCATTTAATTGTCTCTCTATGATTGTTTTTCAAATCTGTATCTGGTTTTATTGCCAATTATTCGGTATTGCAAGTATATCAATATACTCTGTAACAGATTATAGTGGAGATAACTATGACATAATGGTAGATTATTATTATACATCGTTATCATCAGCACCGGTGCCAGGTAAAAATGTCAGAGGTAAAATTATTACTATGCATTTAATTATTATTGGCATTCATAAATTTGACTAATTTGATGTAGGAAAGGAAAGGTGAAAGAAAAATGAAAATACGTCTATTGATTGCATAGAGTTCTATCAGTTCTGACACTTTAACCTCTGGCATTTTTACACCGATCCACTGGAGCCCCGTGTCAGGTATATAGAAAAATGCACGCGTATCCTATTTTTGGATAATTGTTTTAATAAAATAAAAATAAAAAAAATCACAAGGGGTGGGGGTGCTCCAAAATACACACATAAAAAACTGAAGGGGTTAACCCCCCCCCCCCCCCCCCCCCCCCCCGCTGTATACGCGCCTGCTAAACCCTAACCATATACCCCTACAAAGCGTAACGTTCCAGGCTTTTTTCTACTCTTTTGGCAGAATCCAGAGAATTGCCCTACTGCGAACCAATGCAAGCATAAATATACTTATCTATTTATATTATTATGATGTATTAGATGACTGAATTCATTAGCATCTGGTGCAGGTGAGTAAGTGCAGCATTTCGGTTTTAATTTTCTTCTTATTAAATAGTTCTATCTATGCTCAGATTGTTTTCAGGATTTAGTGTCTCTTTTGAAGGCTGCATATCCTCACGATGTGCAATAACCTGGATTTTGAAAACATGAACATAATGGGAAGGGTGCTTGAAAGAGGGTTTCAAAAGAGAACATCTTTGAGAAGGAATTTGCATGTCGCCACGTTCACTTGTTTTAATTTTAAAAGGACCTTTCTTTATTCATCTGAAGGGCCATTAGAAATGCTAGAAAGGGAACATTTTAGCGATTCCCAGGAGTTGCAAAATAATGCAGAGGTTTACCAGGGAGATGTACCCACGATTATAATTATATGTGCATTATTTTTTGGAGGCCTAGTTGTTCTGGTGTTATCGGCGGTTCCCGTTTGTACCGAGACTTAAAGGGCACTCTAACCCTTGTGATAAGTTAATTTGTATGAAAGAAGAAAATAACAGAAACAGAATTGCAAAAGTTTGAAATGAATCGGAGCAATAGCAAGAAAGTTATCAATGTTTGAAATATGAGTTCATTAAGTCTACATGCGAATCTCAAATTGGTAGTTTGGTTAGTGCATTGTAACGTAGGACGTGCATGGATAACTCTCCCATTTGCCGTGTAAAAAAATATCACTAATTTTTGTATTTATCGTAGGTTCCCTCTCCCTTGGGGCCCTACTCAAAATACATTATAGAAAGCATATTATTAGAGATCCTCTAAAAAATAGACTTTTTGAGAAATTTAAATTGTAGTCATCATATATGTTGGAACTGATTGGAAAATGGTCCGGCACTACATCACATTGACATTACAATTTGAAGTGCCCATACGTATAG